GATTACATATTAATATACAGCAATGTACAGTTTGGTAACAATACCTGAATTATTTAAGTAGTATGAAAATTTGTCTTTTCATAATTCCAGTCCTTTCTCATAATACTGTCTTTATGTGTTATCAGCTTTGATTTATAATGCTAATATAATGAGGTTGTCTTTTCTTTTTAAAAATATAGTATTCATATATTTTTGAGAACTTCATCTATATATTTTGATTATGATCCTATTTCCATCCACCTCATTCCTGTGAGGTCCACCTGTGGTTGTCTTTTCAATAAGGTAAAAGAAGAAAATATTTACAAATAAAAATGATTTGTACTGTCTTTTACATTTATCTATGTAGTTAGTTATGCTTTCTTTGCTTTGGTTTTACTATCTAGTGTCTTTTTATTTCAACTCAAAAGGCGCTTCTAGTGATCCATGTACAATAGTTAGGTGAACAACAAATTCCCAAATTCCATTAAGCCTCATGCACCCACCTATCACCCAGCCCATGCCCAGTAGTATATAGATCACAACAATCACTGGACAAATTACCCATGAAAAACATTTACAAGTACATCCTGTATGCCTCTTCAGTCTAAGGCTGGTTTCTCTGAACCAAAGGCTGGGTGTGCTCAGGGATTACAGACCAATTTTCATGTTATTCTAGAAAATCATAAGAAAAATCTTTGCCAATATAAATATCTGAAATTTCCTTTTTAGAACAATAGTTTCTCTCATAATAAATAAATACCTAGTGGCTTGTAACAAGTGAGTCAAAGATATGACCAAAATACAAAAGGCCACAAACCAGCCTTTTCAATTGTGGAGTCAATTTTGAATTCCTGACATATTGGCCTTGTGCCTCTGGATTTTGACACTGAGCCACAGTGCTCTAAAGGAGACAGACACTTCAAGTTTAAGCTGTTCAGAAGTGAGGAGTCAGCAAGGATGCTTTCTCTCTCTCTCTCTCTCTGTATATGTGTGTGTGTCCTCATTTGTGCACACACAAGAATATAAGAATGTGTGTGTGCACACGTGCATTTATGTCTATGTAAGAAGATCCCCAAGAAATGCCCAGGTAAGCGAGAGGATCTGGAGAAGATACTTATCAAGAGGCTCAGAAAGGTAAATTTTCTTTTGAATTTTCTCACTTGGAGAATGTCTGGGAAATCCTACACTGTTCAGCAACATGTTGTTTTTTATCACATTTTGCAGAAAGGAATCTTCAGCTAAGCGCTAAGTTCTGAATCCAAGTTTGCAAAAATCAGAAAAGAGACTACAAGCATACACACCAAGTAGAAGAGGGACATCTGACACTTGGGGTATGCCCTCTCACAAGAAAAAAAAGCAAACAACAAAAATCAAGACAAAATGAGAAAATTGACTTAAAAAAAACACCTTTCTTGCTCTGTAGACCAGGGTAACCTCAAACTCAGAGATCCACCTGCCTCTGTCTCCTGAGTGCTAGGATTAAAGGTGTGCACCACCTCCGCCCATCTAGATGTTCTACTTCATTCATTCATTCATTCATTCATTCATTCATTCATGCATTCATTATACAATGCTCTGTCTGCATGTTTGCCTACATGCCAGAAGAGAGCACCGGATCTCATTATCGATGATTGTGAGCCACCATGTGGTTGCTGGGAATTGAACTCAGGACCTCTGGAAGAGCAGTCAGTGCTCTTAACCTCTGAGCCATCGCTCCAGTGCTGAAAAAACACTTTTCTTGTAACTAAACTTTGTGAAGGTCCTATCTTCCTGGTAAGAGAAGGCATGAGAGACTGAAGCTGAGGGTAAATGGTTCACTTCAGGCTAAATTCCAACTGCTTTAGGAAAATGCATTTTTAAAAACCTAGTTTAAAAAGCTAGTATTTATTTCCTTCTGCATGGCTTGTCGCACATGATTGCACTTGCCACTTCACCAATGTTAATTACTCTTTCTGTGCATGATTTGGTGCTAACAGAGTTGGAAGCTCCTGACATTGTTGCCTTATACAGAGATGGTACTACCTCAGTGCAAAGCACTTCATCCCCACACATATAAAAAGGGCTACCCTTGCAAGGTCATATTTGGGTCATTTAAAGTATCAATAAGTTTAAACTATTTAATTTAGCTCCAAGCTCGACTTTACAATAACGTACCACCTTCTTTGATAGTGAATGAAAAATAGGGTAATTTCCTATCTAATTATCTCTAATATCCAAGAAAACAATCTGTTATGGGCAACTGTACATCATGCATCTACGCTAGAAACACATAAATTAAACGTTATGTTAAGTGAGGTTTTAGCTAAGGTGTAATCGCTGGTACCCTTAGTCTATAAAATAATGGGGGGAAACTAGATCACTTAACAAGGCTCCTTCCAGTATTAGTAATCAGAGATCCTAGGACATCTGGCAAATTTCTCTGTATATGACCTAATTTGCAGACAATGTTTTCTAGCCAGAATCTGATTTTCTTTACCTATTAAAAGCAAATAAGGTGAGAAGTAGTAAACTTTTTGAACCTTTGAAGTCCCAGGCCCATCTTCCCACATATTTGTGCCTCATATGTTGGTGGCCAAGTAAATATTATCACCCTTATAAATCAATCAAGAGTTTAGTTTGCAATTTCCTTATAATTGACCAAAATTCACCAACACTCAGGGTTTTATTTCAGTTGTGAAACCAATATAACTGCATGCATTTTCTCTTTTCTTATTTGTGTATGTGTGGGGACAGGATGCACATACCAGAGCTTGTGTGTAAGTCAGAGGACCATTCGGAGGAATCAGTTCTCTTCTTCCAGGATGTGGATCAAACTCAGGTTGCCAAACCTGATCATAAATGCCTTTACTGACTGAGTCATCTCACTGGCCTCTTTCCTAACATATAATACTCTCAAAATATAAGCAAACTCAAGGATTAAATTTGCAAAAGAAAAGCGTATTAGACTTTATCCCTATTATCTCCCAGCTAGTATGTTGTATAACCTTATTCCATTTACAGGTAGCTAGCGTTTCCACTTGTTACAGGAAGTTAACACACAGTCATCTCAGGAAGCAGCTGGTACTTTTAATCACCAGAGTTGAATTTATGCTTTCTGGGACGGGCAGAATGTTTTCATGGAATGTTACAGCTCCAGATGTTTTTATCTCACATTAACACTCCTGCAAGGTAAGAAGGTGAGAGGTACCTGGCTATTGGGACTAAAATAATCTTTTCTTTAAGTAGGGACTAACAGGTGTGAAGGAAATCCTGATTCTGACTAGCGTCCCTCTGTCTTGAAGCTTTTCAAACTTACAATTTCTTCAAATCATGAAGCTTTTGTTAACGATGCGGTAACAGTAATATCCCAATAACTTCTGCTGAAATAAAAAAAATAGACACCTTTAAGACAGACAGAAAGATATCAAGATAACGGCAGTTACTGGGCAAAGCTGCACTTGGTAACTACATGTAAGAAGAGACATTGGAAACAAAAAGGGCTTTCCATTTCCCAGATTCAGCTTGTACACCAACAACTTGTTGCCTTAATAAGCAATACACTGGCACCCTAGGTCTCTACGGCCCTTCTTTGGTCTCCTAAATATCCAGACTTCCCTTTCAAACTACAGCCACCTGGTGCTTGTCAACAGTTTAATTTTGCTAACTATTTTACTTGCATTATGTTCTTTTATACAAATGAGCGGGAAAGATTGAAAATTACTGTAAGTAAAGGTCTTGAATATAATTCGGCGAAGCCCAAACCAAAAATAATATGGTCTCAAAATTGCATTTAACCTCAACTAGACTTTGACCGGTTAACTGGATGTCATACACAAAGGAAAAAGAAAGCACACAAGCAGCAGCATTGGAAACTTACCACCAATTACCAGACTGGGGTGAGTGAAATTGGTAATTTAAAGGGATGTTTTTGCTCTGATAATAAAATACCACTCTACAGCATATGTCAACTGTTCAATCCACACACAAATCTAAGTAAACACTGGAGGCTTTGTGTGTGTTGGAAGAGGGGAGACTTTATGGAAAGAATCAAAGAGAAGCAGAAGGCCAACATTAAATCAAATTCTTCTGGGCTGTGATTTTGAAATATAGGGAGAGGTTTATCAATCCCATTACCCCCTCCCCCACAAAATCTAGTGGAATTAAGTGTTCTTTACACTTTTGAATTTTAGTTCAACTTTTTACTGTTGATATCTGCAAATATGAAACATGTAACCAGTTTTAAAACTAAATCTCCTTGCAGTTTCTAAGCATTCTGCAAATACTGGCAATGATCATTATAATTTTCTTTTTAAAAAGGCACAGTATAAAAGTTTTTAAATTCCCAGAACAGGGCTCTGGGTGGGAATTAAAAGACTCACATTTGTCTTCAAATGCCCAACATTAAACTCTAATAATTACTGTAAAAGAATACTAGTTTTAATTCCCATATCTGGAAACCTAAAAATTTCCCAATTCCCATTCAAGACTACCACTCATGGAAAGACTACTTTTGTGAACCTAACTAGGAACATAACTGTAGCAGTGTCCTTCCAGAAGGTTGGTACCTGTATCTCAACATGCGTGATAGGCAGTATATTATGAAGCCCATTGCTACTTACAGGATCTGCATGTTCATAAGGATTGCTGCTGTGTAAAAGTATCATTACTGAGCCCACTGTCCCAAGAATCCACATATAGTTTTGACTGCCAGTGCAGCGCCCGAAGGAACATTTGTCTATATATATGAAGTAAACATCTTTGATGCTCACAAGGGCCATGGGAATGAGGGGTAGCCATGGGCAGCTGATTATCTGTAGATGCTATTGATATTAACAGTCAGGGTAGATGTTGAAAAGTCTACCGTGTGTACAACAGTCTCTCAAAGCAAATAATTATCCTTTGAGTTTAAGTGTTAAGGATATTGTGGTGAGGCAGGAAGCAAATCAGATAAATTAATGTATATGGGAGCAGCTCTGATGGAACTCAGAACCTGGTATGACATACAACATATATTCTGTCTAATCAGATTAATCCACACAGTGTTTTTATTTAAATACTTTATTTTCATTTCACAAAGAAAGCAAGTGTTTGCAGTTAAACATGCCTTTCAATCAGTGCTGGTCATATGCAAAACAAGTACAAAGAAAAATAAGCATTTTCCCTTTACAAGTAAAACAACACAATTTGCATATACAATATTACACATACATACTATTTTCAATTTTTTTCCATAAAAGACAGATTAGAATACAAATTTAGAATTCTACCCACAAACTCAGACTGAAGTAACAGAAGGTCTCTACTGGTGTTCAAATTAAAAAAAAAAAAAGTAATACCTTTGTAAGTTTCCAAGCAATTACTTTCCAAAGTATTTGCAAGAGACTCTTTCTCACAGCCACAAGGAACACTTGGCTTTAATCAAGACAGCTGACTACAGTTAGTCTCAACGTGATTTGCTGATGAAGGCAAATGCTCCAATTATGTAGCAATTCTCATTACTCTTATACACACACACACACACACACACACACACACACACACACACACACACACAGTGTATTATTGTACTGATGATTTATACAGCCCAACTTATGGAGCATTTCTTTGAGCTAAGCCATGACCTTTACTTCCTTTGAAGTATTTCAAATTAAAAACGGTTCAAAAATATCACTAATGACTACCATGACTAACTCCAAAAAGGTGGCCCTTTCTCTTTTATTTATGATCAAAGGTAAATGTGTCATGAATAACTTTTTCCTACAGCAGCAGGTATAAGTAACAGCAATGTTACTGGGCTAATTTTCCATTTTCCAACACATTCCTGAGAGTTTGATATGGTAAATAACACATCTTTGTGAATTTCAAGGAGTCCTATCTATCACTCAATGTCTCTTAAATGGATATGGCAAATCTTTCTCATGGAATATCAGTTAAAAAATGTGACAACAAAACAAAGCTAAGATGCAGGAAGGACAGGGGAGATATGCACATGCGTTTTCTTTGATGCGGACAAATGTGTAGTCATAACATTTACCATGTAGTAGATGAGGAAACAATATGAAATATAAGAATGCTGGGAGCAAACATACCGGCTCGGGTGCATGAAATGCACCCAGAATCACAAAGCTAACTAGGAGGCAGCATTAGTTTAAATTTGGGAGTACAACTTAAGACAGCATCTAACAACAATGAAGGCACTGAAAGCAAAAGAAAAAAACAGAATAGGAATGGACCAGTTAAAAGAGAACTGGGGAAAGAGATGTAGCCACACAAAAGAGTTCTGGCTAAGAAAGGGCCAATTTGCCCTGTCATCTGTAGATGTCCTAAGAAAGGGCTAGCCACCTAAGTTCTTTTTTGGGACTATGTTATCTGTCAGTCACCAGATGAGTAGCAATCACTCAAATGGTCAATTCTAATGATCACAATGACTTCTCCTGGGTACACAAGAACATGAAACAGAACTCTGGAGATAAATCTGAATTTCGGGTCTCACAGCAACACTATTCTTAGAGTTCTTCAAATCAGTTACAGGAGACACTAATATTGGCTCACAAGCTTCAACAACTTACCTCAACCCGTGAGGACATTTAAACACACTTTTACTCAGCACTACCCTGTTTTTCTGGTATTTACAAGACCAAAAATGTCCTTTTATCATCTCAGTTTAAATCAACATCAGAATTGCTGGCCCTGACTAGTTCCCACAATGCAGTGTCTTCTCGAATCTTATTTGCTGTATACTCATTGCTACTGTTCAACATGGAGTCACAGGGCTACACTTCCAGTCGGGTGCCCAAGATGTAATGAGCTTTTGTTTTTTCCGTGGTGCATTTAGAAATCTTCAAGGGAATAAATGTTAAAGGGAAACAATGAAGGCAAGGGGGAAAATTGAATATATGTGTATTATATTTGTATCCCTAAAGATATATATCCTGGAGAATAACCAGGAAAAAAACACAAAACAATTGCACTAGTTACTGGTAAGTGAGGAAATATGCAAGAAAGGATGTGCTCTATCATATTATGAAACTAATTTTCATTATGGCCTTTATAGTTAGACAAAGGACTAAACACAAAATGAAATAAAGAAACAAAGCCTATTTATACTAATATATTATCAAAAGTGCAAATCCAAAACAATTAAGTAAAAAACATATAACTGCTCTACTCACTATTGCCAATACAGGCATAAGGGGAAGGGGACAAAGTGAGGTATGTCATATACCAATCCTCAATTTTGATTAGGTACCATTTATCCATGCAAAGGACTTGGGACCTAATCAGTACCATGAAAAAATATATTTTAAAAGCATGCACTGTATCCCCTAACCACTACCCACCTAAGCAATCCCCCTGCCCCTGCCAAAAAAACCCCAGGTTATAAAATTATTGCCTCTATAGGCAATGAGGAAAAGGGAGCATGGGAGAGTTATCATACGTCTGGACCTCCAAGTTTAATTATATATCTACAAATTCTAGCAAAAAAACTGGTGCTATGTGGAATAATACATAGAATGTAGCAATTATTTATATACATAAAAAATATATGTACACCCAGACCCCCCACACACAAAGCAAACAAAAGATAAGTAAACAAAACATCTAGTCTACCACTGCCCACCAGGCAATGAGGGATAGGGAGTGTGGAGAGTTTTCATAGAATCAATCTCAGTATTCATTAAGTTCATATTTAAAAAAATAGTCACACCAAGGACCAGGTTCAAAATGAAGTTAACATCACAAGGCATTTACAACCTAATATAGATATATACATATTAGACATGGTTACTTTTCCCCTAACAAGCTGTATTATAAGCAACAAGCAGACAAAACAAGAACTCAAGCCCTATAGCGCTCATACATTTCTACAGTAAGGCACAGGTGATAGAGTGAAAGATGTTCCATGCCCCTGGGTATAGACTCTTCACTTCATTTGACAATAAGTTCAAACACAAAAGCACATTGGGAGTGAGACAATGAAATAACCTTTGACAAACTTTTAAATACATTTTAAAAAGTAAAAACCCAGAAGTCTTTCACCCCATAACCAGCCCCGTGCCAAAGCTACACAACTACTCTATAAGCCATTGCCCAGACAGGCAATGAGGGAAGGGGATGGGGAGATTTTTCATAGAATGAACCTCAATATTCCTTATGTACCTAAGTGTCCACAGACAGATTTAGGTACAAACGGAGTAACAACAATAACAAAAAGATTTTTAAAAATTTATATTTACATTTTAAACTATATACATACCCGGCCCCTCTGGGTGGAACAGAGTTAGAACGTCTATGCTACTCTACAATTGCCCCCAAAGGCAATGAGGAAAGGGGAAAAGAGGAAGGTTTCATACATCCGGACCTCCACATCTCATTAGGTATTTATAGGCCCATGTAAAGGACTCAGTACCAAACAGCACAGTATAGAAACAAAATTATATACAATTGTAAGAATATATCTCCCGCCTTTGGTGCCCCCTAAAGCTAACAGAAAATAAAATGAAAAGAAAATCCTTCCCATATGGATGGAATAAGAACGGCAGCACACTAAATTCTAGAGCTCCATGGTTTGTCAGGAACTGATAAACGCAAGTTCAGGACAGGTACCCAATGGAAAGCAGCGGCCAAGAAGCAAAGGAACATAGCAAAAACACAGTGAAAGCATATGCCAGCCCCCACGTCCAATAGCAGCCCTAAAGCACTTCCTGTGCTGCTTGACACTCACTCCATGTCTAACGTAAGAGAAGGAATAAACCTCTTAGAGAGATCCCCTGTTTTCCTCATAAATCCATGGAAAGGACTGGGAAAGCAAGGCAGCAACAACATGCTTATGCACTTAAAAAGTATAGACTATTGCTCCCAAACTACTTTTGCAGGCTAGCAAAAACCAACCTACCAACCAAATAACCACCAAAACCCCAAATCTAACCTTCAAACAACTCAAACTACTTTAAAAAGTATTGCACCCAGGCAGTAAGGGAAATGGAAAGAGGACACTGTTATACATCTGAACTCCATTGGTACCTTCCACTCTGAGCACCCAGTGAATTAATAGAACACGGTAGTAAGAACATATATACAGACATTAAGTACATTTCCCTGTACCCCCTAGACCCCACTCATACAGCCATTCTATTGGCTATTGCCAATTTCATAAAGTATTTTTCACATGCATTTCAAGAGCATAGGACCAAATGATATTAGTAATAAAAAGTCATAGCAAGCACTACTCTCTTCCACACTCTCCCAAACAAAACAATTAGTTATTGCCTTAAGAGGCAACAAGGAAAAGGGTTAGGGCTAGTCACAATGGTAAATAAGTTATCCATGCAAAGAAAAAAAGTGAAATACATAAAATGTTGCATTGCATTTATAAATGTGCTTGAAAGGATGAGAGGCAACCTAAGCTCCTAAGACTAACAAAGCAGCAGGCACTATTCTGTTACTGCTAATGCATCCGTGTGAACTTCCATGGTTTATGTACGTGTCCACAAGAATGCACAGAGGGCAGCATTAAGTAAGTCCCAAATTGCAGCAAAATTATTTCTACACACTTTTAAAAGAAGTTACCTTGTTCCTGTCTCGAAACCCACCACATCCTTTCAAAAATTAAAACCAAATTACTCTATAGCTGTTACCTACAGTAGGCAACATGGGAAGAGGAGAGCTTATCAGAGAGCAGTATTTCATTCTTTACCAAGACAAAATTTGTAAAATATAAAAACATATAAAAATACATGTGTTTGTTTCAAAAGTATACATCAGCTCCCTACAAAAACTCCCACAAACCCTCTAGAAATCAGTCATTTCTGCTAATTATTGCCCAACCAGGCAGTAAAGGGTGGGGAGAAGAGTAGGTTTGTCATACTTTGAGTCCTCCACTTTTCATTTTGTACTTCTTTGACATTTCAGAGATTAAGGAACAAAATAAAAGAACACAAAACCCAAAAAATATATACCTGAGTCTTTTTAAAAAAATGTTGTTCTCTTTTATTTTTCATTTATTTATTTTTTAAGATTTATTTATTTTTGGTTGTGAGCCTAGCCTTTAACGGCTGAGCCATCTCTCCAGCCCCTATACCTGAGTCTTAAGAATACAAATATAAGAAGATAAAAGAACATTTCTAAAACATAGAAAGAGTAAGGCAGTGCGAGAGGAGCAGGGAATCCACATCATACCTATGATTCCAAATATCAGAGGCCTATGTAAAACAACCCATTCCTATCTGTCAACTCAGCCTGGGACTGAGATGGTACCTAAGATGTACTGTGCCATGCCCAAAACCCATGAAACACATGGTCGTATATAAGCGCTCAGTAGTCTGGTTGAAGATTATCATTCCAGGTGCTTTAGATAAAGTAAATACCTTCAAAACCCAATTCAACAATGGGCTATTAATCATGCAACAAACACAAGACTTAATTTTAATTTCTTGCTTCCCAATAGTCAATCAGGAAGGATTGTTTGGTACCCAGTAAACCTGATGCAGCTGGATTTGTTTTTTTATACCCAGGACTCTTCTGGAAGCTCTTGTTCTAATGGTGGCTAAAGTCTCATAAAATGAAAACACATATGGCAAAGAAAACTAGTTAAGTAGAAACTGTGATAGCAAGAAAGTTTGGAAACACTGAACACTGACAAATATAATTTCCTTTTTAAAGACAACATGAGAAAAAAAAAGGCACAAGTTTCGGGGGGGGGGCGGAGGGAAACTGCCACTACTTTATCATAGCTAACTCCATATCAGCAAGGTTTATTTCCTCCGTTTCCTAACTTTCAGATCTCCAAATCAATTTTTTTCCACAAATCTAGATTTCCAATTCTATTTTTCTGAGTAATCAAGATGTGCCTTTCGCATTACATTCAAGTACACCCTTTCTCTGTAGTAAACAGAATTCTCATGCAACTGCCACCCAATGATGTCAGGCATTTGTTTGCTTATATCCAAAGCACCAGCTGACCCTGTGCTTCAACCTTCCTTCACAGAAGTACAGCATGCAAGGTAAATTTCGGAGGAGGACAATCTGAGTGCTACCAATATACTTATCAGACTATAAATGCTTCCTCTCAGCCTTACACTCCTGACTGAGTTAGCTGTTAAGAGGTTGCAGAAAAATGGGCTAACAAAACATCAAACTTTACAGAAATCTGTGGGGAAATTAAGAGGAAGCCTATCAAAATTAGAAACAATTGAGGTGAAGATTATAGGTATGACTGAAAATATTATGGCTCCAGTATCCTGGGAATGAATAGCTTCTGACAGCAGTGAATCAAGAATTACTTTTTTTTTCTTTTTAGCAATACCCTCAACAAGGCTTTATTTACAACACACCACATCACACACATCCACACTCATACATGGAAAAAAGTGTTAGTTAAGACAAGATTCGCCATATGTAGAGTTACACAGACTTAAGATCAATGCCAGGATGGGCAGGTAAATCTCAAGATTGAACTTCTCTTGAGAAGTAGCAAAAGTTAAACTCTGTATCAAAGTAGGATTTAGTAATACAACATGGTAAAAAACCAAAGAGAGGCAAAACCCACAAGAGTATTTTTCCTTCACTCTAAAAATACAAACCCCCCCTAACCTTCAGTATCAACTAAACTATCATTCATTTACCAAAAGCACAAAGGAAATAAAGATGTACAATTAACTATTTCATGAAGATATCAAGATGATTCTGTGATTCTCAGGAATAACATTTTTTACTCAAAATCACAAACATGTTTGGAAAAGACTAAATTGGGAGCAAACACTAGGATTAAGCAGGCTATTTTCAGTCTGTCAGCCATTAAAATTTTGTTATATAAAAATATTTTCATAAAATAAACTATAACTTTGTATACAACTCCACATGTTCTAACTTTACAACAGCTAATAAAAAAGTGGCCTTTGTATGGTCTGACCCTGTGGAGTGTTTTCAGTGTTCACAAACGAGTGATTCCCTTTTTATGTACACGGGCAGTTTTCAAACAAATATAGAATTCTCGTGAGTTATTAAGAAGAAAATTTCTCTCCTAAGAATCAAAGAAACAAAACAATCTAGGAATAAGTCTGCATAGCTCAAAAAATTCAAGTACAGTATTTCTCCTTCAGAAGGAGTAAAAACGCCCGCACTCTGCTCTGGACACCTTCCCTCACTTGTCCTTTGCTTGATCCTTGGCCGTTCTGTTTAACATTAGTTTGGCCATGATAAAAGAAAAAAAGGATATTTTTTCAGCTAAACAAAAGCACTGTTTTTAACAGTGAAAAAAATAATTCATAACTCACCATATTTTCAATATACCCCTTTCCCACATTCTCATTGTCCCTTTAAGGTACTATGGTGAACTTCAAAATAAAAAGTTTTAATTTCTTGAGAAATTCTTGTAATACACACTGTAACATAACGTAAACACACACACACGGGTATGATTCACAGAGAAAAGGGTATGATTTGTTAGGTCAAAAGGCAACTTAAACAAATTATATTCTTGGCGGAAAGTAATGACAAAAACACCAGTGCTTAACAGAAAGCTTACCAAAGCATGGGAATACTTCTCTACAGCAGAAGGTCTACATAAGCAGGACTAACCAGGTGCATAGAGTTGGGAGGTACTGGGACTCATGGATACGATAACTAACATTAACTCAGTCCAGAACACTTTCTACAGTAGTGCCATAAAGATGAAACAGAACGTGTTAAATATTTGGAAAACTGAACTTTTGGGCTTGTTTGTTCATCTGTTCAGTTCAACAGAAACAAGAAAAATTCTTTAGAACCTGGTTATTCTGCAGGATAAATTATAATATAGATATAAACCATTTTAAAGGACTCCCAGTCAGGGCAGACCTGCACACCTGAGGTCAGTTGTCTACAACTGCATCTTCAATGTCTTTGTTACTGGGTTCTTCCAGGCAACTACTACACACCATATGCATCTATCAACAAGAAGAAACAAACAGCTGACCAATCAGCAACCTGCAAATATGGTTCTTACAGCAGACTTTCCTTGGTTGCACTCTACCAGCAACTCTCTGGACACTTTAAAATATGACTTTTTTCTCCATCTGTGTGTCCAAAGAAAAATTACTCATTGTTTTTGTAAATGGTTGGCATACAGGTGAATATAATTTTGTAATAAATAACTACTTACTGCCTAAAGACATTTCAGAAATGACATGAAAAACGTAATTGGGCCCTGAGCTTACTAGAACTTCTAACAGTGCAAACAACTCAGTAGCAGGCCTGCCTTCACTTCAACCTTTGCAAAAGCAGCAGAGCCATGGGCACCGGAAAAGTCGGCTGCAAGTGCTACAGCCACAATCTCAGAGTTTTCAGATTCCTCGACATCCACTGGATATTCAGCTGAATAATTTCCAAAGCCTCCTGGACACACCGAAGCTGCAAGGTTGCCTCTGACTGATTTTCAAAGAATGCCTGGACCTGCAAGTTCCATAGAGAAGCATTTTAAACAAAGAAAGGCTGAGGATCCCCTGATCAGCCTTTTGAAATAAGTTTTAAACCTTGTGATGCTGGTCCCAAGGTCTGACACCTTGGAAATAACAGCCCTATACCTTAACAGCCAAGGTATTTGCATCAATCAAGTGGGGTAACATCTGAGGTGATTTTTAAAACAAAACCAATTTTTCTTCACTGCTGGTGCCTCTATTCCTGTGTCTATTACTTCTTCTTTCCTTATTATTTCTTAAAATAAAAAAAAGAACTCTGAAGAAAAATGAATCAATCTAAAATTAGTCTTGATAAATATAATCACATTTTGAATGAAATTCCTCAAAATAATTTCATTATTAAATTATCTGTATTGGGGAGACAGCAAGTAGTGCTCAGAATGGAACCAGCCTTGCTACACATGCAACCATTTAAAATAATCTCAATGCAGAATCATTAGCATTGACAAAAGAAGACAGAAGGGACAGGAATCAGCATGTAAAGCCTCCATTTCACTTAAACAGAGCAGCCTAAGGGAAGAGTCATACAGTTTCCCTACTAGCATTTTGCATAACCAACCTCAGACAAATGTGCCTTTGTTGAAAACAAGTGAGTGGATCCAGCAACAATACTTTGTATGGTATAGGAGCCCAGATGGAACCTGAAGAAACACAAATATTAAGAGAGAAAATGAAGCAGCTGCTAACAACCAAAGCACTGTTGTAGAACATAAAGGAAATGCTGGGGCATCTTTACACACTACTGCCACTGGGCAGGAAAGGAGGTAGGAGCTTGGGTTATTCAGACATAATTTCAATCCAGTTCTTAAAAATCATTATTGCTTTTAGAGAAGAAGGAAGCTCCTACATGTGCTACCTAGCTAAGTGTGATTCCTTAATTGATACCTTGGCAATCAAGAAATAGTTCTAACATATACAATTAAACAACTATGCTGAAATCGTCCAGGACTATTCTAGGATGAATAGCTTGCCAGGTGTACCTGGCTTTGATCAGCATTATCAATGGGCACCACTGCTAAGTGCAATGTTTCTAAATATAGGAAGCTGCTGCTTAAGAAATGCTTCCCCACTTAGGGCATATCATAGCCCAGTGAGCGAGCAAAGCGCTGGGAGCCTTTTGCAAATGCATACACTGAGGATATGAAATTCGGTCATTCCCCAAGAAACTTACTTATGTACAAGCTTATTCCAGTTTTCTTTAACAAAATCCCATGCCAGCAAGTGTCCAGGAAAGTGTCTGCCCACTGTTCTGATGATAAGTGACAACTTCTGTGTCCGGATTATATCTCCATCAAGGCTACTTTTCATTAACCTGAAGAAAACAGATTTAGCCTTCAAAACAATTGTTTTTGAAGTGATGACCAAACTTGTGTTAGCATTTGGTTCCAATGTAAACCTCTTTATCAATTCAAGATAAAGCAGGTTGGACTAGGCTAAGATTAATATGCAAGTTAAAGCCAATCAAGTATTTTACTCATCATGATACACATACTCATGTTGTTATATGATTTACAATATAGCAAGGAAAAAATTCTGCAACTTACAACAATTTTGGAAAACATGTCAGAAATACTTAGCCTGTATACTTATGCATGTAAATCCACAGACCTAACTGATACTACTAAAAGACAAAGAAAAATAAGACAAAGTGAAGGGTCCTAAGAAACATTTTCACATTTTACTCTCTATGCTCAGGTGCAGTTTGTATATTTAAAATGGGAGATTATAGTATACTGTGCTAAGGTCAGAGGCTAGCCATCGCCTTAAAGATAATGTTTATTTATAGAATGTCATTTAGAAGTGGGTCCCTTGGACACTTAAACCTTTAACTCTGCCTCTTCCTGTTCTGTCAGTCTTACTGCCTTTCTTTCACCCACATGAAGCTCCCAATTCTAGGCCAGGCAGTTGGACATTAGGAAGAAGTATGAGCAGTAAATTCATAGCAAGATAGAAAAATAGTTCTCTTTTTCTGGTGTTTACATTTTCAAAGTGATAGCATGAACAGATTAATATCTAAGACCAGCAGAGTTTAGCACATCATGCCAAGGGAGGACAACATTTCCCAGCAGGGCATACATGGGGTTTATGATTACTAATATCTTCGAATCTCTCAAACAAAGTGTATTCTGCACCAATTGGTTAAGGTTTTGATCCTCGGGATGCAAACTCCTCACAACCCTGTTCGAGACAGGTCTAGGAAGAAGTCAGAGTGAGAACTCAAGAGAAAATTGGCTACTGTCCTAAAGAGCGAAGTGCTTTTATCTTCTGGTTTCTTTGTATCATGTTCTTTGAATGGTTCCATACCAGTAGAGTTTCTGTACATCCTCTGAGCTGGCAAGAGCTTCAAGTATTTTGTTCTTTTCTGCTTCAGAGCCCATGGAGGAATACATGTTTAAGAGAAATGACCAGCCTTTCTTGGTTCTTGCTCCAACTTTAAACACAGTGAGCATGACATCAGTAGGCAGGCTACAAAAGAGATAGTAAAACATGAGAATAACAAGGAAAAATATCTGAAAACAAAAGCAAGGAGTTGGCTGGTAGTGTTTCTGGGTTCAGGTTAAATAATAATTGTAAATCTTCATACAATTTTTAGAAATAAGTAAGAAGTTTATTCAATGATTGCTACTTTCCTACAGCATAAGTTGAATTTAATATTATTTACTGAGAAGACACATGCCTGCATAGTGGGGAGGGATAAAGGAAGGAATGAGACACACCCATTTTTCTGTAGATAATGGACTACCCCAAAATATACACAAAAACTATATAACATTATAATAAAGTGTACTGTTTCATGATATAAATAGAGCAGTAAGTATATGTTTGGGAGGCAGGAAGGGGATGAAACACAGCCAATTGCCTTTATTAAGATCTCAGAGATAGGAAAGATTTCAAAACCTTATTCACTTCCTCATCTCAACTTTCCAAATATTTTAATCATTACTCCAAATTTTTCAATAAGGAACCTGGAAAGAATTACATTCCAAAGAAATTCTCCTAACTGCTCACTCTACCAGACATTTCATTTCTAAATTAAAGGAAACATATATCACATGCTGAAAAATATCTGTTATCAAAACGTCAGAAAATTGGGATTGTGGAGACACAAGCATGAGGCCCCGGGCTCAGTAACTAGCACCCAAGTGTCCAATAACAGAACTGGGTAAGGGGCATGCACTTGTCATTCCAGTGCTGGGGAGGTGGAGACAGGTGGACAGAGATCAGTGGTAGAGCATTTGCCCAGCACGTGTGAGACCATGAGTTAGATCCTCAACACCATAGCAAAAAAGTTTTAAATACAGACAAAGGAAGAACACTAGACCAAATATGGAAGTGCTTGTTTTAATGTCAGCACTCAGGAGGCAGAAGTAGACCAACCAGAGACACACACACACATATACATATGATAAAATAAATAATAAATCCTCTATGATCCAGCAATAGCACTTTTGGATATATACCTAAAGAATTTAAATCAGATTTGCAAAAGCTAATTGTATGCTCAAATTCATGGCAGTAATATTTACAATACCAAGAAGTAGAAGCAATTCAAATTTCATGAAAAAAATGTATTAAAGGGCCGGGCGGTGGTGGCGCACGCCTTTAATCACAGCACTCAGAAGGCAGAGGCAGGCGGATCTCTGTGAGTTCGAGGCTGGGCTGGACCGACAGCCTCCAAAACAATACCAAAACCCTGTCTCATAAAACCAAAAAAAAATGTATTAAATATGGCACGTGCATACAGTGGAATATCATTCCTTCCTTCTTTAGGAAATAGTGAATGGGAAGACCCATTCAAGTAGATGTGCACTTTACCCCTGAGTTCCATTTGATGACATCCAATTGTCAAACAGCATTGTGGCCTCAGTGGTACAGTTCTCTAGGCTGTGGGCACAGGCAAATTCCAGCAAGGCTGACCGAAGCTCTCGTGCAGATGGCATGCCCTCATCAGTCCAAGTCTGCTGCTGGATTTGGTTCTGGAGCAATTTATACATTCTGGTCTACAGAGGTGAAATATGATTATAATGGTATTAATAATAAATTCAATAAATCAGGAGATATCTTTTCTCCAAGGTTTACCCAATAAGGAAAAATACAAGATATTACTTATTAAACATTAACAGACACAAAAAGCCCACATTTTGCTGGTACGAAACTATCCAATGACAAAGCTACAACAAGTAGAACTTAGAATGATACAACTCTACTCAGGAAGAGTTGATGGTGTCTGAACTGCAGAGAACCTTGATTCTGCATGTACTTGGCTAGAAGCTACCTTTCTTCCTAAAATATCAACCATAACTGCTGGAATTTCCTTACTTAATGACTTTTGAATTGGCAAGTCCATAAATAAAAGAAAAACTATGCCACGATTACTCATTATTAGTTCTCTCCATGCCCAGACCTGGTCTAACTATATAGCCAACGCTGGCTTTGAATGCACAATTCTCTTGAGATTACAAGCATCTCTGCTAAAATACATTTCTTTAACCAATGATTTAATGTTTAAATAGTTTCAAATCCATTATTAAAAGTGGATTTAACAAACCACCTAATTTGAGGTCATAACAAATTAACCTAACAAATTTAAAAGAAAATGAGGTCTCTAGGAAGTAGTATAGTCTACATTCCCATTATAATGTAAAAGAGTCAAAGCTACAGAAAAATGCAAAAATACATGTTTAGTGTACATCCAAATGTTATTCATCTAGATTTATCAGTTTCTAATTCTTCATTTTTGTGCACATGGTACATATACACTTTTTTGTTTTAGTTGAATTGCTCATAAATTATAGAGATCATGAAATTTCGTTTATATATACTTAGCCTATATGTGATCAAAATAATCTGTGAATAATTATTCAATATCATCTGTTATTCTAATTCATTGTTACAGTTACTTCTGAATGAGAAGCCATTGTGAAATATATGTATATTATAGAATCAGCAACCCCTGTTTCATCTCTTTCCTCTGCAGAAGCATAAAAGCTATTTACAGTGTGTGGAAGTCCTTCCATGTTACAAGTTATTGTGCACTACGGAGGCAGAAGATACACAAGATTTTAATATCCTGGAGGAGAAAATCTCTGATATAAAGTACTTAGGGTTTTTTCTCTGTAAAGAATATCTTGAAGCTATACAGAAGGAAGATCAAGTTAAAAAAAATGACAGATGTCCCTTCCCCTCAGTATCTCAGCACCAATGCATTTCTCCTTACCAATTATTTTTTACTATCATCCACCACCATCTTACCTGTGCTGGCTACTTTTATGTCAACTTGACATAAGCTATAGTCATCTGAGAGGAGGGAACCTCAAATGAGAAACTGTCCCTGTAAGATCTGGCTGTAGGCAGGCTGGTAGGGAGTTTTCTTAACTAGTGATGAGGAAGGGCCCATCCCATTGTAGGTAGCTGACTGGTTCTGGGTGTTATAAGAAAACAGATTGAGCAAGCCATGAGAAACAAGCCAGTAAGCAGCACTCCATGTCCTCTGCATTAGCTCCTGCCTCCATGTTCCTGCACTATTTGAGTTTCTGATTTTCCTTAATGATGGCCTATTATCTGGAAGCGTAAGCAAAAAACACCTTTCCCCAAGTTGCTTTTGGTTGTTGTGTCTCAACACAGCAACAGAAACCCTAACACACTGCCTTATCCCAATAATAAAGTATCAAAGATGAGTTATGAAAAAACATTTTAATTCCCAAAATTCAGTTTAAATTCTTTCAAAGTATTATGCTCTTACTGAAGATCACTGTCCATCCCTAAATCCAAGAATTGGTATAAGAAGTTCTCAAAGCTTGTGATAACACAACTTGCCTTTGTTTGTTTAAAGACAATGAAATAGAGACTAGATGGGATGTTTGAGGTCATAGAGTTTGAGATCTACTAGGAGAATGTGGAATAGGAAAATACTCGTCATGTTATCTGTCAATGCAGGACATTCCACTGGACTCATATGGCTGTATTGGTACCTGCTATCTTCAACTGACTGATCCATTCAAAAAGCATAAAGAGCACTATTCCTGATTGTAGACACAGACCCCAAGCTTGCCATTTCTGTCTCAAATGAATGGAGAATCAAAGAAAATTTAAAGAAACAATGTGTGGGAAAATTACAGCTTAGAATCCTATCTTAAAAACCTCAGTGGAGAGACGCAGCAACACCTATGAGAATGGTACTTTGAAGCACTGGAGCAGAGAAAGCCTGACACTTGAAGATGCTTAGATTAAGTCCTAAGAACTCACACCCAACTATCAGAGAGCATGACTTTGCCAGTTTCTTTATCCCAAATGATTAAGAGAGATTCTCAAATATTTTAAGTCTATTTGAAAATATGATAAAAACTTTACTAACATAATTCTACTTTCATAAAAAAATCCTGCTGTTTTAAATGTGACTATTTAAGTGATTCAGGTTATAATGTCTTTAATATTATTTATATTAATAAGAACATAATAGGTACCTCAACTTGCCTTTTTCTCTTACAAAATGAAATATACTTTTCATATGGTTTCTAAATTAACATTTTGAATTTAAGGTAGTTAACAAGATCTAACACTAATTTTATAAAGAACTGCCAGAAGAGGAAGGGAATAAAGAGATGTATCGCATAAGCTACCAACACTGCATATGCGATAAAATGCAGCAACAGTAAAAAATTATTTTAAAAATAAACCAGGAAAAGATGCCAACTCTTGCTATATATTACATTTTGATTTACTGCTTTAATTTTACATCAATACATAACAAAGCTTCTTAAAAGTGAACTGCCAGTTTTATTGCAAAGTTTTATCCCACCAATGTTTCACATGTAAGAGATTGACAGATTTTAATTTATAAAACAGGAATATGGCTAAAACTAGACATTACCTTCAGATGTTAACAATTTAACACAATGCAAATGTACCTCCGGACCCTACCCACCACACCACAGCATATTCCACAGAATGCTGTATATATCACGCATAGCTTGCATAAAAAATGACAAATTATTGTGTACAGTATTCTGGTTGTAATGACATAAATATTAATCAGACACCAATATTAAATGCCAATACACTTGAATATTGGAATCAAGGGTTTGGAAATGCCTGCTATCCTGCTTCCTAATCACAAAGTGGTTTCACAGTTTGATAGTTTTGATGCTAACAAAATCCCCTAAGAATAAACAAGAATTTTAATGTTTCCTCTCTATTATAAACTAAAGCCAATTTGGTACTTAACTACACATTTAGGGTTTTATAGCACTAAAGGTGTCCAAGTCTTAGAAACAGACACCAAGATGACTATCCTTGCCCTGTACTCATCAGTCCCCTGGATCCTACTGCATCCTATGTTCCAAAGAAACACCTGAAACCACAACCACAGAGGATGAAGATGCAACAGGAGACAGGTTACTTGAACATCAATTTGCAATTTCAACAAAGGGACAGCTTGAGTTAATTACCAAGTGCTTCATAAGACTAATTTTAAATAGAATGGAGAAAGCACATGGAAGAAGGGCTTCTGCTACCATGAAACTATACAAGTGTTTTCTTAGGATGTTTTATTTTTTAGATTTTTAAATTTTAAATTAGAAACAAGCTTGTTTCACATGTCAATCCCAGCTCCCTCTCCCTCCCCTACTCCCCTACTCCCTCCCCTACTCCCCTACTCCCTCCAACTCCCCACCCAGACCACACTTCGCTCCCCAGGGAGGGTAAGATCCTCCATGGGGATCTCCAGAGTCTGTCATTTCATCTGGGGCAGGGCCTAGGCCCTCCCCCATGTGTCCAGGATGAGAGAGCATCTGATTTGAAGGGTTTAAAAATTACCATAAATGACTTTGGGAGCCCTTGATGATAATTTTTAAACCCTTCAAATCAGTGTCCTTCAAGAGTGGTAAAAATGAGTGGGCACTAGTCTTGTCTGCTACTACTGATACCACGTTGAATATGTACCTTCCCCAAATTCATATAACCTTAATTGGGAACAATGTTTCTGTAGGATATAACCAAGTGAAAATGAAGCTCTACAGGGTTACTATGGGATCTAACCTAAGGGTTGGTATATCAATGACAACTGGCAAATTAGGGCACAGAAACATGGTACAGTGGCTTGTTAACCAGGATAGGAGAGGAGAGACACAGATTTTTGCAAGGAATGCTAAGGATTGCTAGCATTCACTTAAAGCTAAGGGAAAGGCAAGTAGCAGATCATCCTTTACAAAATATTCTACTCTGCCAACACCTTGACTTCTAGACTCCAGAGGCATAAAAAATAAATTCTCACTCTTTCTGTACATCAAATTTGTAGTAATACTAAGGCACTCCTAGGGAACTAATATATTATCATAATTATTGCCGAAGTATCGAAAGTAACAGCTGAAGATTAGGTGACTGGTTTTGAGGCGAAGTCTAATACTAGGTCTAGAACTCCTTTACAGCTTGTACAGTCACTGCTATACCTACCAGCATCATTACTCATGGGAAAGTAGTCAGCAACAACTCCTAAGCAGGTTATTTTCAGAATTTTATAAAGACCGCTAGAACATTAACAGGATATCTATTTTCTAAAAGACCTTATTTTAATGTTGTATAAAAACAAAAGAGGGTTCCCAGGGATGTTTTCCTTATAGATGGCTCCATTTGATAGCAGTCAAAGGTCTGCATTTTTATATTCGAACAATACTACTTCATATAAAAGCTTCACCAACTCTTCATGGTAAGTACTGACATTTTTGATCCAGAGTAGAAGTTTTTACAGCCAGCAAAATAAAATAAAAAAATGGAATGTTTGATTTTTTAAGGCATGTTAAGAGAGGAGTAGAACTAAAAATAACACTATTAAAGGTAGTCCACAAGAGAAACTGAAAAAAGGAAGACTTACCACCAATCTTGAGGCCAGGTCCATGTGTCCCAGTTTTTCCAGGAGGTTAAAGATGAGGTCTGTCTGGAACAGAGCTTCAGTAATGGGTGCAGTGTGTGTCTCATTTCTAAGATAGTCAATCAAATCAAATGCCATCCGAAGAGGCACTTTGCCAAGGCTAAAAAATAAATGAACAGGAAGTGTAAATTTGCTGAGACACACATTAACTTTATAATGAGCTAGTGAGTTCTCCAGACAAAAAAACTTAAAATTTACAGTAACATTAGGCAAAGTTAGACTCATGTAATTATATAAGTGGCTCACAGGCAAAGATGCATTTTAATAGAAAGATAAACAACAGCTCATTTTGGGATGCGGAAGTCGTCTATTATTTGTCACTGATGCAGTAAAAGCATCACATTGCATCGGAAAAGATGACTATGATAGATATTATTTACTAATTACTTCCACTTACCACATGATTGGGTGGCATACTCCCTATATAAATCAGAAAACAGACAAATCTTATTTCTTGCTGTAATCAGTCTGCCACATTTGTTAAGACAAGGTCCATTGTGAGTTTACAGTGAATACCTTCTAAAAACTAAGCAGCTAAGCTGGATGGGGTGTTGCACTCCTTTAATCGCAACACTCAAGAGGAAGAGAGGTAGATCTCTGTGAGATTAAAGCCAACCTGGTCTACACAGATAGTTTCAGACTAGCCGAGGCTACACAGTGACACCCTTGTCTCAAACAAACAAGCAAACACAATAGGCAATTTGTAGAAGTTATAGCAGCAATGGTTGAAAGGACATAAAAAGGTTACTTCATATTTAAAATACAAGCCAAAAACGGAAAATAATAATGATGAGTATTCTTTGTGTTTCTAGGCCTATAATCAATCTAAATTTGTAAACTATTCAGAAGATACCTTTACAAAAGACCACTGCCATTCTTGGCTTTGGGCTTCTATAATGTACATGGTAGTTGGGGAGGCAAGTCACACACATATAAGGATACTTCAATTACTAGAGATGCTACTCAACTCAACCAATAGGTTGGCATTAAGCTTTATGCAGAAACCAACTACTTCCTGAAGATACTTCTCTCATCAGATAATGTGAAGCTTGAATTCCTACAATATTTGAACAAAATATGTACCCTGTTTGTTGTTATCTATTCGTGAACTAGTAGTTGATTATGTTTTATGGTATCTATTCAATGTGTTTAAGCTGATGTTTATAATATATATAAAATCTCTGAAAGCCATGAATATGCCTTACATTTTCCAAATCTTTTAAAACTTAAAGTCAATATATACTTATTTCAAAATGTTTTCTGAATTGTTCTTTACTGCAATAACATTTTTAAAAATGACAATAACAATGTAAATCAAGCATACTCTACCCTGCAAGTTCAAAGATGTTGTTGATGAGGTTGGCTCGGTCTTTGTCACTCAGAACATAAGGATTTCTTTTTAACTGATTGATTAGAGCTGCCCAGTCATCATCAGCATAGTGAACAATGTAATAGCCAGTCATGTTTGTATTGACTTTGACCCACTGCACTTGTTCTGTAAGATTGATGATATCTAAAAGAGAAGAAAAATTAAAACAACAAGAGAGATTCTTTTAAGAAACTAAATGCCAGATGGGCAATGGTGGCTCACATCTTTAATCCCAGCACCAAGGAGGCAGAGGCAGGTGGATCTCTGTGAGTTTGAGGCCAGACTGCTCTACAGAGCGAGTTCCAGAACAGGCTCCAAAGCTACAGAGAAACCCTTACTCAAAAAACAAACAAACAAACAAAAAAACAATGATACCACCGTGAACACAGTGAAATATGAAGCATATTTATTGTCATGTTTTTCCCATACTTGTTTTAATTTATGTAGTATTTCCTACAGTTGTCCTACATGTATTGATGTTCATCCTGCATTTTTACCTTTAGGATTTTCCCAACCCTTTACTTCCATTGTCTTCATATGCAATGTTCAAATATTCAACTTTCTATTTCAGGACTTGTCCCACTTTAGCCAATATCCTATTTTGAAACATTATTTAAAGTTTTTCTTTTATTCTTTTTTTTTTTTTTTTTTTTTTTTTTTTTTGGTTTTTCGAGACAGGGTTTCTCTGTGTCTTTGGAAGCTGTCCTGGAACTAGTTCCTGTAGACCAGGCTGGTCTTGAACTCACAGATATCCGCCTGCCTCTGCCTCCCAAGTGCTGGGATTAAAGGCGTGCACCACCACTTGTATAAGTGAAATATTTTTATACAACGTGCTAGAAACACATTCTAAAATAAAAGATACATTAGTACTTGAAGTTTTACTTACAGTTTGTCAAGTTCAAAGAATGAATTACTAAAATTTAACTGATTCCTTTTATTACTGTAATTTTGTTGACACTTTGGACATTATGAAAATGGAATAATTATGTGTTAATAGAACTATCAGTTTTTTCATTAAAAATTTAATATTAGTTTCTGTTTTATTCTTGACATAATAACAGATGGGAAAGATCAGTTAGATGGAATAAACTCATTTATTTTTCCAGAGCAGCATGGAGTTCCGTGGAGGATTTGTGATGGAAAAAGTCATGGTTCAGGTTAGGGACATGGTAACCAGACTTATAACTGATGAGAATAATTGTATAATTAACTAATCCAAAAAGTACCAATATTTTCCAATTGGATTTGCAAGCGCAATCTTCTATGGAGCTCTTAAAGACAAACTCTGAAGAAGGATTACACAGCCCTATCTCCACTGACTTAAAAAGAAATGATAAGCATGGCATCCATTTCATTTGCTAGGTTCAGGACATGGTGAAATAGTAACTGTTTTCACTGATGAGCACTTGCTATGCTACACACATGGCCAACTCCAAATGGTAGAGAAGGAATGCAGCTGGAAGTATATTTCAAATTATTACTGTCATCAAGTTGCCAGAACATAAGCAACACAGCCAACAGCAGAGGGAGGGAGGAGACTTTTTAAAGAATAGCATAGGAGTACCTTTCATGTCTTCTGAATGAACTAGGATACAGGGCCTCAAAACCACAGGTATCAAAAATAATTGTTTTATACATAAGTGACCTAACTGGTTGCCAGCTCAAATATAGATGAGATGAGACTACTTTCACATGCTTTTAATTTATTATAATCATTAACAGATTAGCAGTTCAGTTTTCACAGCCTACTGTATAATAGTGAGCAATTTAACTTTAAATGGCAAAAACCCAGACAAAGTAATATAATTGTGATTTTAAAAAGCCATTTGTCAATAAGCTATGAAAATCAACTACTGTTTTATAAAGAAATGTTGAAGTCCTGAGACAAAAAATACATGTTTTTACTATAAAATTAGAAAATACAACATCCAGTCTGTTCCAGGGATTACCACAGTACACAGTTTACCTGCACTCCATGCAAAAAGATTCCCTTTCTTTGTATCACTTCCTTTGTTCTTTCTCTTATTAAGTAGGAAAAAGGATCAGATATCAGGACACGAATGTGTGATAGTAAATCACCTCCCTTTCTTTTTCTTTCTAATTGCTTTTCCTTCGAATGATACATCTTTTAGTTTCATAGCAATATTTCTGGTATGGTGACATACTGTTTCAGAAACAACATTTCCAGTTAAAATTACTTCCTACAACCAAGGATTTTAGGTTTGGAAAAAAAAATATAGATAACAGAAAGATAGGAAGGACAAAAATTTTAGTGTACCTGAAAAATTATCTCCCTTACCCTGTTATTTATACACAACAATTTTTCAAAGATGGAAAAAGGGGGGAAAAGATACTAATTGAATATAATTACTACACATGATCAAAACAGAAAGTTAAGGTCAGGGTCCTACTATAAGCTTAAGCAACCAAAGAGGATCCTATAGTGCAGCAATGTATGAAATAAAATAAGCCTAAAGTTCTTTTCTCTGCTACATTTTGAGGATAGAAAAAATTAAAATGCAACTAAGTTGAAAGTAATTACTATTGGGGTATCAGGAGCCAAGAAGATTCAACTGTCCTTAGGGTCACACATTTTCTTAGAAAAGCAGAGTGTTTTCAATGTGCACTCTTAAATGTGAAATGGCAGAAATTAAAGCAACAACAGGGACCAGAGAACTACATAGTTACTAACAGGAAGCGCATGCTGCTTACATCAAACCAGGCCAATTCCAGCCTCAGATTCAACAATTATATTCCTTTTTGTATATTCCCTTTAACTATGAGTCTTTTCAATTAAGGGAAATAAGGCATTTCTTTTGGCTTTAAATGTTCCTTCCTTATAAGTATTCATAGTCAAAATTAAAATTCAGTGATTTCATTTATCCATTCAGTAGTCATTTATGTACTTAAGTAATTTAAGTTTATGCTAACTTCATTAATGTAATTTATAAACCACAATATTTATTCTCAATGGGAGATAAATAAAACATGGAGACACAAGTGGATCGTACTTAAAAATACTCTTGAGTAAAAAGTACAAAATGTTATTTGAAACTATAAACTGCAAATCTGCTTTGTCTTGGGATGCAAAAGTCTTCCTGGAACAAGCCAAGGCTTAGCTAAGGGCAGAGGGATGGCTGGGAGGAGGTCAAGGGAATGGAGAGTCAGGACGCTCTTCAAGGAGAGACAATAGCACACAGAAGGGTCTACGCATAGCAGACAGTATGGCCTGTTTAAGACGCTGGAAAAAATTTTATGCAGAAAAATCAGAGTACACCAGGTAAGGAAGATTGAGAGGGAGTGAGGGGGAAAGGGAGAAGAGGGAGACAGGAGTAGTAGATGAAGAAGAGGAGGAAGGAGGGGGAGGAGGAAAGAGGGGGGGAGACACAGATGGAGGTGGAGGGGAAGGAGAGGGGGGAGCCAAGAGAGGGAAAGAGAAAACATAGTGGGGAGAAGAAAGGAGGCAGGCTATATGGTTCATGTGTATAATATGTCCTTCCTACACTCATGTGTTAAAGGCTTGGTCCTAAGCTAGAGGATCTGATCATTAAGAAGTAACTAGTTAACTCACTGATAAGTGGGTAGAGAATGGGCACTTAGGAAGTAGGATCTGGAAGAGGAAGTTAAGTTACTACTTTGGAATGTTTTCAAAAGATATAACTTGTCAATGTTTTCCTTCTCCTCCCCATCTCCCAGAGTCAGAAACTAATACTTGCAAAACTGTGAACTAAAATAAATCCCCCCCTTTAAATTATTTGTTATTCCAGCCAAGCAGTGGTGGTTCATGCCTTTAATCCCAGCACTAGGGAGGCAGAGGCAGGCAGATCTCTGTGAGTTCAAGCCTAGCCTGGTCTACAACAAAGCTTTTTCCCTGTCTTGAAAAACCAAAAAAAAAAAAGTTATTCTGTTACAGTAACAAAGAGTTGACTAGTGTAAGAATAAGTAGAGAATTTGGGGCTGTTTTATACACCATGCATCTCGAATATAGTTTATCATACTCACATATAAACAGAGCTTTTTTAAAGTAAGCAGATTTCTTATTGTCTATTTCTAATACCAGCAAAATTTTAAATACTATTAGGAAGGCTGCAAATTTTCCTAAGTGACTCTTTTCAGAATGCTCTGCTGTGTTTAGACTATACTGCTGAGTGCACAGAGGGGAAGGGCATTCCTCTTCCACGGGTTGGAGTACCCCTTTAGGAACTCTAATGTTTGGAGTTCTGTTTCACCAGGGAAGGCAGCACTTTTTCACACATTAATCAAAGAGATGGTGGGATCATTTTCTGCTCCCAGGGCTTTAAATAGTGAGATTGTTACATAAGTACTGCGCCTCTTCCACAGTGTGCGGTAACGCTGCAATGAGATGACACATTCATAGAGTGAAGCTGACACTTTCCATTATTACCATACAATACAGAAGAGTAACTTAGTTTTGAGTACTCTATCACAAAAGGTAACAAATAGTCTTCAATTTTAAGAAGCACTGATTAAAGAGAAAACAAGACAAAATGGGGGGAAAAAACATCTGAAATTTTTATTAGGAAATGCTTTTAAGAAAGACAATTGATGAATCATAAAAAATGAAAGACTGTCAATTACCATATATATGTTTTTAAAGGCAAGATATAGAAATCATATGTACACAATGATTTCAAACAAAAAACTTTAAAATGATAAAGCACAAAAGAACTTATGATAGCATTAGAAGGCTTTATATAACATGGATACACTATGCTTAAAGGTTCTTTGGTGTCTAACATGGGCTTAAACACATGCCTGCCAGACATGACTTTAGGGCTCCATATAATATACTCTAAAATCCTTATCACAACCCTATTTTAGAGTATGCTCAGAGCCAAATACCTCATCTAAAATCCAGTTAAGTGATAATTGAGAGAGCCATGGACTCTACAATTGAGAGGCAATTGGACTTTACTCACCAATCAAAAATGTAGATTTGAAAACAGATCCAAATCTAAGCAAGAGCTTTGCCTTTTGCATAAATCTGAAGTATTCATGGATGATTCTCACAAAACTCAAGAGTCTTATGTTCTTTTGGGATGTAAATTGAAATGATATATGTGTAGGTATCACAGATGTATTTTACAGCTGGTTAGAAATTATATGTGTCTCTGCTAAGGCACCTCCTGATTGGTTTAATAAAAAGGTGAAGAGTGAATAGCTAGGCAGCAAAGGATAGGTGGGCATTTGAGGGAAAGAGAGGAACTCAGGAAAAGAATCTTAAGAGGGGGGGAATTTGCCATGAGACACGGAGGGAGTCAGACATACTGTTTAAGGATAACAAGTCACGTGGCAGAGCATAGATTAATATAAATGGGTTAATTTAAATTTTAGGAGCTAGTTGGGAAACAAGCCTAAGCTAAAACCAGGCTTTCATAATTAATAAGAAGTCTCACTGTCATTATTTGGCAGCTGGTAGTCCAAAGAAAGTTCACCTACATACATGTCTACAGGGTATGTTGTAATAAGCATTTACTGTATATCTAGGTCATAAATTAACCTTGATTGTGCATATAAATTATTTATAAAATGCTTATTTAAATGCACTGGCCCAGGCTAGCCCTTCAAAGTAGATAACACTTTAAGTAAATGCTCTGGTTCTTTTACTTATTTTAAAACAGAAAATATTTATCTAGAACCTAAAAATAAAACATTGCCAAGACATTTTTTGCAACTTCTTAACCTTATTTCTTTTATTTTTCTTTTTGGTTTTTCGAGACAGGGTTTCTCTGTGGCTTTGGAGGCTGTCCTGGAACTAGCTCTTGTAGACCAGGCTGGCCTCGAACTCACAGAGATCCACCTGCCTCTGCCTCCCAAGTGCTGGGATTAAAGGCGTGTGCCACCAACGCCCAGCCTTAACCTTATTTCTTACAACTGAAAGCCAATTCTACATATATAAAGAGTCAGTCTTACTGCATTCAAATGTTGGATAATTGTTTATGACACTAGATCAGAGAATGTACACACTGGAAAATGCAATCTATTATCTGACCTGTGGTCAAATTTTAAGAATTACATTATTAATAATTTTTTATCAGAAAGGTATTAACTATTTTCACACCTGATTTCTTGTCCAGTAGTGAAACTGATCGATATTCTGAATAGTTTCTTCCATCAGTGACATAGGATATTGGAATATGCCACAGGTAGCTGCAGAAGTAAAACATTGGAGTGTTAGTTCTCTTCCTAATGTTTTAGTTATTTAAGAGTTGGTGGTTTGGGACAGTAACAGAGACTTTCCAAGCTCCTGCCAAAGAGGAAAGACCTCATCAGGTTTCACAAGAATGATAGTTAATAAAACATCTAAAATCCTTATACCTGGAGGTAGGAACCAGATGGGCTGGGAAGAAAGAAGAAAGATACCTGGCATCTGAAGCCTGAATTTCTGGTTGCATGCTTAGAAAAAATCTTTCTTGTTGCAGAAGGAGCTCCGTCCCCTTCCTCTGGACAGTCACTAATGGGAATCCTTTCTGTAGGGTCCAGGTTTTCATCATCTTCTTTACATCTAGTGTTTTGTTTGTGACCTATTCAATTAGGAAGAATTAATTCTGCTTAATGATAAAATTAGTTTAAAAGTTTTAGTTTAATTTGCCTGTGCCTTTCCCTCTTTTCCTATTGTACCCCATGAAGACCACATAGAATTGAACTGAGTTTACATTTTTCATCAAGCTAAGTAAAACTAAATAGCTTGTAATGTAAGTGAGTGTTATATAAGACATGAGTGGTACTACGCTGAAAAGCAGCAGGTAAGCTACCAACCTGTAGAGTTTAACATTAGAATCCATAGAAGACGTAAGTGCACTTCTGGACCACAGCACTACGACTTCAAAGATATGACTAGTGAGAAGTATTATAGGATGGAAGCATTGCAACTCAGTCCTAAGAAGCAGCAAGTCCAGACTCCTCTTTATTCTCCTTCTCTGCTTCTTTTGTGTCAATGTTTTAAAGACCCAGTCTTGGGGGAGAGTTAGAAGGTTAGGATGTCAGGGGCAACTGCAGAAAACTCTACTCTCTTAACTGAGTCTCTTAGAGAATGACAGTAAAATCTTTTTGATGATCACAGATCTTATTTCCCAAAACTACATTAAACTTTTCTGCAAAATCTAAAATCTGATGTCTCAGGTTATTAGACTCTGTAAAGCTCACTATACCAAGATATCTGGTATCAATGATCAAGAAGTAGTTTAGTAGCTGGGTAGTGGTGGTGCACACTTTTGATCCCAGTACATGGGAGGCATGAGTTCAAGGCCAGCCTGGTCTACAGAGCGAGTGACAGGAGAGGCTCCAAAGCTACACAGAGAATGCCTGTCTCAAAAAAAAGGAGTTTACAAAAAAAATGGTCCCTTTAAAGCAAGAAGGTTAAATTACTGATTTAGCATACTTTTCCCAATTACACATAAATGTAAATTCAAGCCACCACAACATAATAAAACCTGCACTATTACATCCCTAGGGAAGGCTCTACCTCAATCACTATATGGCTGCTTAAAGTTACAAAAGTATGAAACAATCTTCTCTTTCTCATGGTTCTGACCTATTTATTTCAGGACCAGAGCCTGAGAAGAAAAGCAAGGTACTTTGAGAACTTTAAAGAAGAGATTAGTGTACAGTTTGATATGGATGCTTAAAAGAATGAAAATAGTGTTAGGAACTAGGTTGGGATGGGACAACATCATTATCTGCAGTAAGTGACAAAGGCAGGCACATGTTCCATATGTCGAAATATGTACAAATGGGAACCAAGAAAGTGACTGCTCTCAACTGAAATGCCAATATATGATTGGATAAAAAAAAATACAGAACAAAGTGTTAAGTAATAAGAATTAATTCCTTCTCTCAAACAGAACTCAATAGGGAAGTCCTGTCTTCTGAGCAAAAAGTTAATGCAAGGAAATATTATCATTCAGAGTGGAAAAGCAAGAGTAAATGAGACACATACAAAGCAAGGGTTCTTGACTCAGCATCCATAAGACTCTGAAACTGTATGTGATGTCTTGCATATGTGTGGTTTTTCTGAGGCAAATGGCAATAACTTTTATCAGATTCTCAGATACATCTGTGATCTTGAAGAGCACTAAGAACTGCCAATTTAGATCAGGACAACAAACTCAGAAGCATATGAGGACTGTGCAGCAAACAGGCACAGGCAAGCTGGGTTCACACACTGCTCTAAAGAATAGCTTCTATCCAATTACCTTGCTTGTTAGAAAAATTAAATCAAGAACAGATAAGCAATTTAAATAGACCTATAACCCCTATGGAAATAGAAGCAGTTATCAAAAGTCTCCCAACCAAAAACAGCCCAGGTCCAGATGGCCTCAATGCAGAATTCTACCAGAAATTCAAAGAACAGCTTATACCAATTCTTCTCAAAATATTCCACGCAATAGAAGCAGAAGGTTCTTTGCCAAACTCTTTCTACGAGGCTTCAATAACCTTGATGCCGAAGCCACACAAAGACACAACTAAGAAAGAAAACTTCAGACCAATATCCCTCATGAACATTGATGCAAAAATACTGGCAAATCTGATCCAAGAACACATCAAAACAATCATTCACCATGATCAAGTAGGTTTCATCCCAGGGATGCAGAGATAGTTTACCATACAAAAATCCATCAATGCAATCCACCATATAAACAAGCTGAAAAACAATGATTATCTCATTAGATGCAGAAAAAGCCTTTGACAAAATCCAACACCCCTTCATGATAAAGGTCTTGGAGAGATCTGGGGTAACAGGAACATACCTAAACATAATAAAAGCTATATACAGCAAACCAACAGCCAACATCAAACTAAATGGACAGAAACTCAACGCAATTCCACTAAAATCAGGAACAAGACAAGGCTGTCCACTCTCTCCATGCCTTTTCAACATTGTACTTGAAGATCTAGCTAGAGCCATACGACAACAAAAGGAGATCAATGGGATACAAATTGGAAAGGAAGAGGTCAAACTTTCACTATTTGCAGATGATATGATAGTTTACATAAATGACCCAAAGAACTCTACCAGGGAACTCTTACAGCTGATTAACACCTTCGGCAAAGTGGCAGGCTACAAGATCAACTCAAGAAAATCAGTAGCCCTACTATATACAGACAATAAAAGGGCTGAGAAAAAAATCAGAGAAACATCACCCTTTACAATTGCCACAAACAACATAAAATACCTTGGGGTAACGCTAACCAAACAAGTGAAAGACCTGTATAGCAAGAACTTTGAATCTTTAGAGAAAAAAATTAAAGAAGTCCTCAGAAAATGGAAAGATCTCCCATGCTCTTGGATAGGTAGGATCAATGGAGTAAAAATGGCTATCCTGCCAAAAGCAATCTACAGATTCAATGCAATCCCCATTAAAATACCAGCACAATTCTTCACAGACCTTGAAAGAACAATAATCAATTTTGTATGGAAAACCAAAAGACCCAAATAGCCAAAACAACCTTACTCTACAAAGCAACATCTAGAAGCATCACCATCTCTGACCTTAAGCTCTTTTATAGAGCTATAGTCCTGAGAACAGTTTGGTATTGGCACAAAAATAGACAGGTAGACCAATGGAATCGAATTGAAAACCCTGATATTAACCCATATATCTATGAACATTTGATCTTCGAAAAAGAAGCTAAAAATATACAATGGAAAAAAAGAAAGCATCTTTAACAAATGGTGCTGGCATAACTGGATGCTGGCATGTAGAAGAATGCAGATAGATCCATGTCTATCGCCATGCACAAAACTTAAGTCCAAATGGATCAAAGACCTCAACATAAATCCAGCCACACTGAACCTCTTAGAAGACAAAGTGGGTAGTACCCTTGAACGAATTGGTACAGGACACAGCTTCCTGAACATAACACCAGTAGCACAGACAGTGAAGTCAACAATTAATAAATGGGACCTCCTGAAACTGAGAAGCTTTTGTAAGGCAAAGGACACAGTCAGCAAGACAAAAAGGCAGCCCACAGAATGGGAAAAGATATTCACTAACCCCACATCTGAAAGAGGGCTGATCTCCAAAATTTACAAAGAACTCAAGAAGCAAGTCTCCAAAACACCAAAGGATCCAATTAAAAAGTGGGCTACAGAACTAAATAGAGAATTCTCAATAGAGGAGTCTAAAATGGCTGAGAGGCACTTGAGAAAGTGCTCAACATCTTTGGCCATCCGGAAATGCAAATCAAAACAACTCTGAGATACCATCTCACTCCTGTCAGAATAGCTAAAATCAAAAACACCAACAACAATTTATGCTGGAGAGGTTGTGGTGAAAGGGGAACACTTCTCCACTGCTGGTGGGAGTACCAACTTGTACAGACACTTTGGAAATCAGTATGGAGATTCCTCAGAAAAATGGGAATAAACCTACCACAAGACCCAGCAACTCCACTCTTAGGCATATATCCAAAAGATTCACATTCATACAACAAGGATGTCTGTTCCACTATGTTCATAGCAGCATTATTTGTAATAGCCAGAACTTGGAAGCAACCTAGACGCCCCTCAATTGAAGAGTGGATAGAGAAAATGTGGTACATTTACACAATAGAGTACTATTCAGCAGAAAAAAAACAATGGAATCCTGAAATTTGCAGGCAAATGGATAGCACTAGAATAAACCATCCTGAGTGAGGTAACCCAGTCACAAAAAGAGAAATACGGTATGTACTCTCTCAATTGTGGATTTTAGACATAGATCTGGGGAGTACCCGCGTACAATCCCATGGCCAGAGAGTTCGGGAAACAGAACCTTCATTCAATGGCTGATGGAAGCAGAGACAGACTCCCACAGCTAAACACTGAGCTGAACTCAAGGAATCCAGTGACAGAGAGGGAGGACTGATAAGCAAAGGGGTTAAGACTGGGCTGGTTTAAGCCCCAGAAACAGCTGATCTGACAAGGGTTAGCTCTTGAATCCCAGGCTGATGCCTAGGAATCCAGCATGGGACTTATCAAGACCCCCTGAATGTGGGTGTCAAGTGAGGAGGCCTAGATAATCTATTGGGCCTTGGGTAGTAGATCAGTATTAATCTCAGGTATACAAATGGACTTTGGGCACCCATCCAACAATGAGTGATGCACTCTCACCCTGGACTCTTGAGGGGAGGGTCTAGGCCCTGCCCTGGATGAAATGACAGACTATGGACACCCCCATATGGAGGGCCTCACCCTCCCTGGGGAAATGAGGGGATATTGGAGAGGTTGGTGGGAGGGCGTCAGATGAGGGGAGGGAAAGGGAGAGGGACCTGGAATTGACATGCGAAGCAACCTTGTTTCTAATTTAAAATTAAATTTAAAAAAATAAAACTAAATTGCAGTCTTAGAATATTAAAAAAAAGAGTATAAAAAAAGAAAATGGAAGTGTAACAAAATCCAAAGACACAAATATGTAACTCATAGTAGTCATCTTGTGATAATCATCTACTAAAAGGGATCTGGGTCCCTAAATAAAGAGATTCATAAAGCATCATATAGTATCATTAATTGAAGGAAGTAAAACTAGAAAAGATATAGGAAAAGAACTTTTTGAAAAAAGAATCAAGTATCAAAAATATATAATATTCATTAATATTAAGAAAACTTTTCCTTACCTAACAAAAGGAATGGAGATTAAGGTACAGAATAATTATCGCTGGCCCCCCTTTTTTGTAACAATATACAGTATTTTTACTTCTTGATTTTAATAACAAATATTTATATGCTAAGCTCTATCTCCTCTCTATTAAATAACTACCATTGGTACTATTTTATGTCATAGAAATATAAACAAAGGATCTCTTATAGTTCGTAGACAGGTCTGAATTATCCAGGCTACTTACCTCATTAAAGCTGCTCCAGAGATCATCGCTTTGAATGGATGCATAACTGTGATTGTGCAGGTAAAGAATGATAGCATGCTGAAACACATCTTCACTAAGGTAAGTCTTCAACATCAACAAGAGAGATGCTCCCTGACAAAAATTGAAAAAATAACTATTGCAGGCCATAGAATCAAGACTCTAAGACTGAAAATATTTCTAAATTACATGATTTCATATATATAACATAACTATAGTACACTAAAGATATAAACATTAACAAAGGGAGTTAGATTCTTATACACACTAAATCTACCATGAGCCATTCTTTGTGACTGATTATTAGTGCACTTTGCTGTTTTCATGTCAATATTAAAACGATCACCATTTGTGTATTTTTAATATAAACACATGACAAATTTTCTATCTCTTCTCCCGCCTCCAATGCTTAAAGTGCTAGCTGCATCCACACACATACACCAAGGAAGATACAATTAGTTAACAGAGCTTTCAAAATCTCTCTGCTAGTAGTAATTACATTCTAATTTTAGTCTCCCATGCTGCAGAAATAATCAGGATCTTTCTTCTTCTGAAGAATGCCTACACTAAAGAGTATTCAGAGGAACAAGCAAACACTAAGCTTCCATAACAAGGCTTGCAAGAATTCAGGCAATACAATACCCTCCTCACACGTTACCTTTCCAACCATGAAGCAATTACCTGTTTGGTTTCTTTTCTGAATTGACATGGAAATCACATTGCCCTATTTGCAATTGATATTTTCTATACCTGGTATATGTTTATTTCTTCTATACTGAAGGCCAGTTGAGAAAACAATTCAAAGATGCAACTACAGAACTACAGTGTTTGAATGAATTTCACTTGCAACAAAAACGTAGCATTATCAAGTCATCAAAATTGTTAAGTACAGATAAATTTAATAGCTATTTCACTGCTTTCAATCTGTAGCTATATTTAGTCTATAAATTTAAGCATTCTTATTCTCAACCGTCCCTTCTTTTTCTACATAATGAACTTTCTCCTCTATATTATAATATTCCCATTATTAAAAAAATACACAATTAAACATTGACTCTCTTTTCCTTAACTTCATGCCTCCTCTAGTTATCACATTAGTTCTTGCTTCTCATTTGTAGGAAAACTCTGCAGTCATCTACATTTGCTCTCTTCCCGTGTTCTTTTATACCATAGACTAACCTTTATTCTACTAGCAATATCATAACCAAGGTCACGGGTGAATTTTCTGGGGCCAGATCAATCTCACTTCTCTTACTCACCTTATCAATAATGCACTAGTAGCAGTTCATACGATTGATTTCCCACTCCTGCTCAAAAGTCTTTAGGTACTCAGCCTTGGTATAGTGTTTCTAATTTTACCTCTATTTCAATGCTCTACCCATGGTCTTTTTTACTGAATCTTATCTGCCCAGTGACTGAAGTTTGGTGTACTCTGCCATTTGCTCTTTATACCCCTGGGTGTCTCATTTTTACCACCTAAATTTGCTTTCTAGAAGCTCTCAACTCTAGGGGCTTTAACCCCCCCCATTTATATATCTAATTAGATTTTTACTTCTGAATTCCAGACTTACAGTCAACTACCTACCTAGCATCTCTACTTGTATGTCTAATATATATCTCATACTTAAAAATTCAGATTTTTATTTGCCCCAATTCTACTTATCCAGTAGTCTTCTCCAATTCAGTAAATGACTATTCTAATGTCCAGCTGGTAAGAGAAATTTTTTTAGTGTGTGTGTGTGTGTGTGTGTGTGTGTGTGTGTGCGTGCGTGCGTGTGTGTGTAAATGTGAAAAACAGAGGATAGTTTTAAGAAGTTGGCTCTCACCTTCCACCCTGTGGATCTCAGGAATAGAACTCAAGTCTAGCCAGATACCAGAAAAAGAGACAGACAGACAGACATCTCTTCATAAATGTCCCAGCCCCAGCCATTAGCACTCCTGTTCTTCTGTGCAGAGCACACTATTCCAGTTTTATGTGCTCTCAGAGGTATTTCAAGCCTCACTTTTCTTCAGAGTATCTCTTCAACATGCACAAATTCTCTGTACTATTTCAGCACATACAACTACTCCGACTATTCCATATGTATTTACTACCCAATTTTGAGCTTTTTGATAATATGGGTTCTATCCTCTCGTGTTCAATGTTTTCTTCTCTCACAGGGACTTGCTAGCCAAGTAATCTGACAACCAAACATGAAGGGCTAATCGAGAAAAACAAAACAAAAGGTTAACTGGCTTTAAAGTCACCCTCTGACATTATAAGCTAAAGTAACACTGGTACCACACTTCCTCTGTTCTCCAACCTGCTCAGATACCAACAGAGCTGCTACTTTCCATCCACAAACCTGGTGTTTATGTTTCACATCCTGAAGGGTAATCATAACCATCAATTATTTAAAATAACTTTTTTGCTTAACTATTTTAGTGATCTTGATTCTGGAAAATATCACAATTCTGAGTAACACAATAAAGAGGACTTTCTTTTTCTCAGGACACATTCTACTTGTAGATCAACAGAGAAAACTAACTCTGAGAGATGAATTCTGACAGGATCTGCTTCACTGCCTGAATACTAGTCACAGTGACTAAGAGGGAGACAGAGAAAGAAACACTCACAAAAGTTAAGACAGACTTACATATTTAAAATGTAAACAGTTTAAAGTTTAAAAGGACACCCAAAAGCAATGTTTATTCAATCTTTAATATGAATTAGGCTGTTTACTGACTTACAAAATGAGTTTGAAGTCCATTAAAAGTATATTTTTTAGCTGGGTGATGGTGCCACATGCCTTTAATCCCAGCGCTTGAGAGGCAAAGGCAGGAGGATCCCCAAGATCACAGCTAACATGGTCTACAGATTGAGTTCCATGACAGGGATACAGAGAGAAACCCTGTCTCAAAAAAAAAAAAAAAGTACATTTCTTTGAGCACAGTAATACCTTAAAATAGGAAAGAGAATCGAACATTTCTTCTATTTGTTCTGAAGACTGAACAGATGATGATATTGGATGGGATGAATTCAAGGAATCTTTCCTCATAGTTTTAAATCGAGCATCTAGGAAGTCTTCATACTAGCAAAAAATAAAGTGGAAGGAAGTCATGATCAGAATAAAGTCAATTATAGCATTTATACAAATTATGCAAATTGCTACAAGATGAAAAAGCCTGCGTTCACTAAATTTTATCAAATAAACTACTGAAAATACAGTGCATGAATATTCCTTAAATTTAAAACTGCACTTAGAATTGAGGGGTATAATTATCATTTCCAAAAGAACATAACTGTAAAATTAAGAATCTACAACTAATGAAAGCAAGTTTGCAAATCTGAATATCCAACAAAAGTTAAAGTATATTTTTAAAATAAAAACTGAAACTTAGGACAGAAACTTGGTCCTTACCTTGAGTTTCTATTAAATATACAATTCTTAGTTAAAGTTATTTTAAATAAAGTACAACTCAGTCTGAAACCACAGAGAGATAGAGAGCTCAGCCAAGAATGCCCCTAGAATGTATATTACATTTTAAGTATTCTGGGCACCCCCAAGTGGTGAAACTGTGTATTTCATTGCTTAATTAAGTAGTACATATGATTCAAACTACCTACTCAGTATTCCAACTGAAAATTACTTGCAGTTTTAATCAAGCCCTATATACAGAAATGCCAAACTTGAAGTTTTCAAGAATATTACTGAAAGTTCCTGAATAATGTCTGTAGGGAGTCTAAAAGCAAGTCATAGAATTTTAGGGTTGAAAATATTTCTAAGTGGGAGGTTTTCCTGTAGTTTAAGGAGCCCATGTTGAGTGCTTCCCCTCAGCTGCCCAATAATGCTTGAATAATTTCAGCAACATCTGTCAAATTATGGCCTACTATGTCTGAACATCTGTGAGTACAGAAAATATCTCCAAACTCTAATGATACAACTAAAAGTATAATGCCTCTCTATAACAGGATGGTATTCAAGTCTTTGAAACTGGATGACATGTGGTTTATATACAACAAGGACAAATTTATTTATTTTAGCAACTTATATGTTGTTTAAGAACTGCTGAAAGAATACATTCAGTAACAATATAAAAAGCAATACTGAAGTCAGTCTTCATTTCATTTCTCTTTATACATAGATTTTTAATTGTTTTAACAAAACAAATTTTCCAACTTTATCTAAACTCCTTCAAACAGAAGAACCATATCAAAAATAAAATGTAGCAATTAAAATATTCATCCAATGTAAAAAATAAGATCACATATAACTATTTCAATGTTTAGTGAATTGCATCAATAAGCAAGAGTGTGATTTTAATTATAAAATCTACAGAATTACAGATTTTGCTATAGTTTTCTAAAAAAATTTTCATTACTTCAAATGCATAGAAAATACAAGGTAAATAACTCATAACCTCACTATTTCCTCTTCATAGGATAAAGAAGCACAGTACTTACACTGTTGAGCTCTTTGAATATTTTTTCCACAGAGAAATACTCCATGAAAGTCGCAAAGCCTTCATTTAGCCACAGGTCATTCCACCATTGCATTGTAACCAGATTACCAAACCACTGTAGGAAAGACAAGCTAGTGACCAGCATGATATGCATATCCCCAGGAATTTCTTAATTGGATTAATTGTCAGGCTAACTACAGATAATCAAATTAAAATCTTAAGAGAAACTATATCCAGAGTAATTAGGGACTTAGAAAAGCTATAAAACTGTACCAAAAAATAAAGGATTTTAAAAGTTGTATAAACTTATTTTAGAAGTAAAATAAAAACTGCAGCATTTTACCTTAGCTAAATGGGAAAAGAATCAGGAAAGACTATGAATATATTTATTTACTAAAATTTGTATGAATTTTTATAACATACAGTATATATAAGACTATATAGATGACAGTTTTAAGCTGTTTTATTTAAGTGAGACATCTTAAATAATGAAATTATCTGATCTAATACCAAGTTAATAAGATTATTTTCCATTATATACACAATCTTCTATGACAAGTAGAGGTTTTCCTGTTGTCAGAGTCTGGATTTCATGCTTCTTTTCCATTACCTGAGTTCAAGACATGATTCACACAAGATCTGAGTAACATTCCTATAGAAAGCTGGTGTGCCTGCACACCTGTGCACACACACACTCAGGAAATCAGAGAAATCTTTAAATGCTTTCTTATATATAGTAGTAAAAAAAAAGGCCAAAGGTAAGAGACCTTCCTAGGTCTCTTTCGGGTATGGAGAGATGGTTCAGCAGTTACCACTTGCCTTGCAATCCTGCCGACCTGAGTTTGGATCTCAGCAACCATATAACAAGCTACCATGTAATTCTCCACAAAAGTCTGCAATCCCAGCTCTAGGGAGGTACTAACAGGCAAATCACTGGAGGTTTGTGGGCCCCCAACCTCACTAAACGTGAGAAAGAAACCCCACCTCAGGACTGGTAGAGAGGGATGGAAGAGGACACCTGGAGCACTCTTCTGTCCTCCACAATATGCACCCATGTGCTCCAACATTCACAGACAGACACAGACACAGACACAGACAGACAGACAGACAGACACACACACACACACACACTTCTTTTTAAAATACTTGCAATAAGAAGTGGTCATAGGGTATTCAAATTTGTCAATGCTGTATGGGGTTTATTTCCCATCAGTAGCAAGAAATGAGGCTATTATTACAATACAAAATTACTTTTGAGAATTCAATCATTAACTTTTCTAAGATACTATCTTAAAAATATGTTCAACAGGAAGATGAGTTATAAGCCCTAAACGAAAGAAAAATATAAGAGAAATATTCTAAGTGGTAATGAGTAGTCCCAGACATAGCAGGATTAGAAAAAAATATGTATCATTTATCAGCTTGCCATGAAGTTTTTACAAGGGTCACAGAATCACCTATAGATGATATTTGAGACAGAGTTAACTGGCCACACCCTATACTGAAAAGCATCTCATATCTAGGGCGCAAGAAAGATAATATTTTGGGAATGGAGATGGACATGGACAAGTCTTTTCTTTTTTTAATCTTATACAAAGACTTCCTGCACTCTATTACTGGGGAAGAGTTCCTTCTCACACATTAATAGAGAATCCTGTTCTAGTAGAAAATAGAGAAAGAAATTTGTTCCTGATAATTGTGATTCAAGAATTGTTAGTACAAAGCTGGGTATGAGAGCACACATCTATGATCTGGTACTCAAGAGTTGAGGCAGGAGAAATTTGCATGACATAGTAAGAAGGTTTTGTCTTAAGGAAGATGGTGTAACTAAGGGAAAAAGTTCCATCCTACAAGGTTACACTGAGCAGCTTGGTGGTTGCTAGATGTGATGCAGATGTGTATTATCAAGATGTGTATTGTTGATATTCCAGGGTTAGGGAATTTAGCTCAGAGGTAAAGTACTGTGTAACACAAAGTTCTGGGCTTGGTCCCAGCACTGGAATAAATAAAAAAAGATAATTTGAACATACAGTCATTCTTCAAGGCCCAATGCTACCATTTAATTCCTGTGAGAGTTTAAACAAATCATTTCTTAGAGCTGAGTCTCAGTTTCTATACATGTAAAATGGGATTACCACTCATTTTAGGACACTGTGAAATGAGATAATGGATGTGAAAATGACTTAAATATGAAGTTCTAACAGACTGTGTTTAAAAGCATCATTTTTTTATATAACCGCAACACTAAAATCATAGAATATACTTAATAATATTCAGGTGTTTACTACAACTCTAGGGCCTTAGATGTAATGGCCTGGTTGGTAATACCTGATGTGCCAGCTCATGAGCGATGATTTTAGTAACCAGTTTTCTATCTGCTACTGAAGAACTGGCGTTGTCATACAGAAGAGTCTCTTCTCGGAACGTAAGCAGGCCCCAGTTTTCCATTGCTCCTGCTTCAAAGTCAGGAATGGCCACCAAATCTGGACATCGCAAGAAAGAAGAGATCAACTTCTTATCTAAAAATCAAGAATCACTACCCAGTAAGGACAGTGACAGAATCTTCCTTTTCCTAGATCAACATGCTCTGTCCCTTGCTGTCAGCTGAGGAACACCTAATCAAACCCTTTTATGTCAACAATTCCACTGTCCCCTAACAAAGAAAACAAGAGCCCATTTCTCTCACAGTGAATCAGACTGAAGCAAGACAAAGCCCAAGTTGAACCCCATTAAGTTCTTCAGAGCCCGCATTGCACTGAACAGAACTTAAATCTTGCTTTCATGGATCCCCAGAATGTACTTTTTATTATCTGAATCAGAAACTTCTCAGAAGTTAGTAAACTCCAGATGGAGCCCTAAGCAAATTCCTACAACCCCATAAACTTACAAGTTATAGAAGTAATTTAAAGTTTAGGTTCAGAAAACTTATAGATTGTAAATAAACTTAACAAGTACAATTTTTATATTAACATTGTTTCTTAGTTTAAAAAAATAACTGGCAACAGCTTTCTCTAAAATAACACTTGTGAAGCAAATCTTCATCATAAATTGTACTAAAAATCAAGGCACTATTAAATGCTTACCCAATTTCTTAAGTGGGTATTGAATTTCAAAGTAATTTTGATAAAATTCAAGGAGCTTTACAGTTGTGTCCAAAGCATGGTGAACTTGATCAATCTTTTCTGGTACAGCATATATAGAAACCTAAAGAGAAACATAATCCATTATGTAAAGACAGGTAAAACTAAAATGTCATGTAACTCAGCTGAGCAATGTTAGGACCAGCAAATTCAAGAAATCTATACTCTATGAGATCTTATAGGACAGAAACTCACGCTTACAATTCTTCCAGCCACACAGAACAAGTCGTCTATATACAAACTTACACAAAAGAATTACCTTGTGTTTTAATTTTTTTAAAGTTCTCAATATCTCAAATAAACTACTGTGATACATATCAGAGAAAATTATAAGCATTATTCTATTTAATTTTACATTCTTGCACTCCTATGACACAGAAATGCTCTTATTTATTAACTATGAAGATGATGAGTTATTTGTAGTACAAAACTAAGGTGTTAATCCTTTTGGCACCTATTATTGTGCCTATATTAGAATACACACAAAATACATATTAGTAAACAAATCTTAACTTCAGTTGTTGGCTTGCTTTTTTGGATCATGTAATATAAAAAAAAATCTATCATATCATTAAACACCCTCCCTCACTATGATTCAGGTCTCACCTTGCCCATTCGTTTTCGGCTACACACTCAGGAAAAAAGCATATATAAAGTTTCAAAACCCATGCTTTCTACCTATCATTTGGTAGATAAATGCATAGTTAAAATACATATGATAAGATTATAAAAGAAACTGAATATAAAAAGGGACGCAATTATTCTCAATCCTAGAATACAATTAGGAGAAGGGGTTGTTTGGATTTTTTCTTCTTCTCTACTTTTTCTTTTCCTGAAAGAACATGTGCAGCCTGGTCTATAGAATGAGTTCCAGGACCACCAACGATACACAGGGAAAGCCTGTCTCAGAAAAAAAAAAATGTGCTTTTACCTTCTTAATACACACACATCATCTGTTCATTATATTTATACCAACTTTATTCTAAAAAAATAATAAAACAATGGAAAATAAGCAAAGAGAACAATATGTCTCAACAGAAATGTTTTTTGCTATTTTGTGATCTGAAGGATTTAAAATATGGTCATGTGCATATTAGGCTAGTACTCCACCACTAAGCTATTTCCCCAGGCCTCTTTCTAGTTTTTATTTTGGCACAGGGTCTCATTAAGTTCTCCAGACTCAGTCTTGAACTCATTTTGTAGCTCAGGCATATCTTGAACCTATAATCTTCCTGCCTCAGCATAATGGGTAGTTGAGATTACAGGTCTTCACTGCCATGCATATAAGGGGGGAAATGCCTTAAACATTTTGGGTTGGGTAAGAGAACACTAATTACAACTGTATGGTGGTTTTGGGGTGCAGCTCTATCATATAGGAGATCAGCAAACTTAAGGCTCTGGGTTGAAACTTAACAAAAAGAGTAAAGAAAAGAAAAACAAACAAATATCTTAGTCAAATGAAAGTCTACTGGCAACTAGGCCTTAATAGTTACAGCCTAAATGCAGATTTCTATAACTACAGCTATGAAGATCCCTGCTTACTCAGAGCAAAGGGTTCTTTACAACTGAAAAATAGAGGGTATGATAGGTTTAACCTGTCTGCACCTTAAAACAATAAAAACAAAAACTAGCTAACAAAAGCCGAACCAAACCTTATCATTCCCATGAGGATAACATGGCCTGCAGGATCTAAAGGGTACACTGGCCTTCCAAAACAGGCTACGAACACATTACAGAAAGCATGAGTTCCTAACATAAAGAATATAATCGAGTCCCTTCCTAATGTCTAATTGGATGAACTAGAAAGGAATGATATCAAAATGGGCAAAGTGTACCAGAATGACTGAAAGACATGTGGGATATATCCTGGATCGTATAATGTCAACTTGACACAAGCTAGAGTGATCAGAAAGGAGGGAACCTCAATTGAGAAAACAATGCCACAAGATCCAGCTCTAAGTCATTTTCTTAATTAGTGATTGATGGGGAAGGGTCCAGCCCATGGTAGGTGGTGCTATCCCTAGGTTCTATAAGACAGCAGGCTGAGCAAAGCCCATAGAAACAAACCAGTAGCAGCACCCCTCCATGGCTTCTACATCAGCTTCTATTTCCGGGATCCTGCCCTATTTGAGTTCTTGTCCTGACTTCCTTCAACAGTGAACAGTGTAAGCCAAACAGACCCTTTCCTCTCCAAGTTTCTTTGGGTCATTGTGTTTCAGTACAGCAATAGCAACCCTAAGACATGATATAAATGACTTTAGAAATTCTGAACAAAAACAGGTTTGTGAATAAATTAAAATTATAGCTATATTGATAGTATTGATACTGTTGAGGGGTCTAGTTAAATGCTACATTCAAATAAGGTACTTATACCTGACTGATTAAACTGATTCTACCAACTACCCCATCTATAACAAAAACAAAAGCAGGAAGCAAGGAAACAAAACAAAACAAAAAACCTCAAGTAAAGCATGAAGCAGCATTTTTCACAACTAGCCTACAATTTTCCAGATAACTCTGACATTCCTAAGAAGAAAAATTCAGTTTTTTTTTCAGACCAAATGGATCTTTCACTTTCTACTAATGAAAAGTTTAATGAATAAAAACTGAAATATAAAAGGTAAAAACAAAATGGGTGGGAGGGGGTTGTGCTGTTACTGGTATTGAACTTAGGAACTTGGTTAATGTCTGGTAAACTGGACTATATCTTCAAATCCTGTTCTTTCTTTGAGGCTTTGATATCAAAGCAGACCTCAGTAATAAACACGGCATAGATAATAATCTACAGTCATTGATAAAAATCAGTTTATTAGTATAACTCTACCTCTTTATTCCTGAATCTTATTGAATAGACCTACCACCTAATATTATAAAAATAGAAGCTGGATTCCAACATCTTAGAATAGCAACATTCTTCACTACCTTCCAAGTTTTGGACTTTGGGTTGTAACACCTGCCTGAGTTCCTGATGTCAGCGCTGTATAGTGGTGGAGAGTAAAACCATCTTCTACTGGCTCAGTGACCGTAGGTCAGTCACTTAACCTTTCTAAGATATACTCTCATCACAGGTATGGGGCTACTGCTGTGGCCATCTCCTCTTAATAAAACAGAGTGTTTATAAATGAGTTCCTAGCACACCAGCTAACAAAGTAAAGTCCTATCTATTTCCTAATAAAAAAGGGAGAAAAATGGTAAAACTATTGTTTTTTCATGCTACTAATTTACAATAGGCAGCATTAAAAATGAGGTTACATCTCTTGGTGTGCAAAAGATTAAATGATATAGTTACATATGGAAAAAGGGAATGTGTATCCATCTATGCATATAATACATATATACATGAAAATGGATTTTCTTTTCTGTGTGTGTATATATTATAGTCCTGAAAAATGAGGTGTAGAGGGGATTAGAATACAGTCTCTTCAAGAGATTAGAGCTAGTAATTGCAAAGGAACAATTCCATACCAAAGACATATTCTTGCTAAACTGTGCTGCCACCGTATACAGATGAATGAAAGCTTCTGCCCACCACCCCAAAAAAGCTATGTGAAACTCCTTTCTTAAACTTTCTTCCCAACATCAAGCATACATGAGGATAAGTTATAACATGTGATAATGAATTATGACACTATGAGTGATGGAAGAATTCACTCTAAAACAAATGAAAATACAAATGAGCTTGTAAAGAAAGGACTTAAATATCAAAATGATGAATTTTAATGTAATCCTATAGACAATACCAAGCTAGAATGGCAGATGGGGGGCAAGTTTGGAAAGGTAAGTAAAGAGGAAGTAGGTACTTAAAAAGAACTCCATCATCACAGTGTTTATATCTCTACTATAAAATAAAGTTCAAATCAAACAACTATTTACACATGGATATTAATGACAATAACAAAACACCTTATTAAAACACAAATCATGAGAAAAATGGAAATAAACTTGGCCCTTAAACAATCTCATACATTCTCTATGAATAAACTCAACCAGGATTTGCTTTTTTCTTCTGGTTTTGGGAATTGAAACTAGAGCCTTTTGGATGCCTAGAAACACTGCTGATGTGTAGCCCAGCACCTAAAATTTTTTAAAAGAATATTCATTTCGTTTTTATAGCCAATATGATAATCAATAGCCACACAAACTACTATAACTCTTGAAGTATGGCAAGCAGAGACACACAGTACATTTTATTTTAGTTTAAACCTAAAGAGCTATATAAGTGTACTGAACATCATATTCTACAGTACAGTTCTAGAAATGTTACTGCATTATGTTGTATTATTATAATTCTCTTATAAAATAGGAAACTTGAAAACTATTGATTTTCAAATATTAAATGAATAGCAGTAAATAATAGTTACGTTTTGTGGAATATTTGATGGCACTGTGACACCCCAAGACTGTGTTAATAAAGTTAACCTTGAATCAAGGGGTAGAGCCAGTGACTAGTTGACAAGAACTAGTCATAGAGTTTACGGAGGACCCAGCATACCATAGAGGCACAGGAAGGAATAGAGAAGGACTTTGTGATTCAAAGGCTTTTTGGGCTTCCTTTTTGGTGTAGAAGCATGGAGAGAAGGACAGCTAGTAACTCCTCCCACTGCTTCTTTAATCATCAGGTTTTCACCCCAATATCTGACTCCCAAGTCCTTATTGGTACTAGAACTTAGATAAATATAACAAGTAAGAGTAGTATTTCTGTTACAGAAAGTCAGAATTTTATCTAAAAGCTTGTCTTCATAAGGAAACTACCAAGAAACATTAAAAGAATTCTTCCTGGGTTACTAAAAGATTTTCAGACAATAAGTATAGTAACATACCAAGGTTCCATTTACATCCTGACTCAGATTCCTCATCTCCCCTACAATGAAAGCAACCAGGTACGTGCTCATTTTCACACTTTCAAAAAACTCATCCTTAATAAGTCCTTCTTCTGCAGGGACTGATGACTTCTATAACCAAAGAGGAAAAAAAAAAGATGACAGTTTTGTAATTAAAGCAATCAATGACAAATATACTGAAAGACTAAAAAATTCATGTAAGCAGTAATTGCATATTTTAATCTTTCAACACAAATTTCTAGAGAGCAAAGTCCCTTGTTTCAGTTTCTTCTACCACCCTTGATCAAGAGGAAAAATGAGTACAATGAGAACCCTAACATGGCTCTTAATATAGTTAAGTTACAGGTAACAGTGATTTTGTCTCTTCATTTAAAAATTGTAAACTCAAATCCTTCCCCTACCCCAAAACTTTAGGATAACTGTAGCTAAGATATCTTTTAACATGATCTAGTGCTCCATGGAGAACATCCAGGAAAACTTAATGGAATCAAATGTGTTAGGTCACTAGAGAAGTCTGCAACAGACTGAAGGTGGAGAAATGCCAGCAACTCTCAAGATTTCCCAACCATGAATAAGGTTAGGCTTTGGGTTATTAGACAAGTAGGTGCCCACCTCTTTAAGAGATTAAGGTGAAGAGTTTGGTTATGAGTGGGATTATGACAATGAAAGAACATGCTGTCTACTGTCTATTGGGGTAGATAGCATGACCTGCTGACTGTGGCTCTTTCTTGCCCCTAGCTACACAAGTTCTAGGAAGCATCACAGAGATCACACAATGCCGTTCCCAAAAGGAACCCTAAGTTCTGTTTAGCATAAAACTCCTCTGCTTGGTGTTACCTCTACTACCTCCCACACAAGTAACACCAAGAAAAAGGCTCCTGTTTTTGTTGTCCATTTCCTCATGACCACAGTCCAAAGTTTCATTTTGCCAAAACACCGAGAATAATCACAACTGCACTCTCAACACTGCTTAGAAGAGCAAATTCATTTCGTCTCAAGTAATTTACTGGGCTTGTACTAGTTCACAGTGTTAGTATTTGTGCAACTGTAGAGCAAGAGGACACTTCATACCTCCTACCCATGCATTCTAAAACTTGCAGGGTCTTTTCCTTCCTTGAGTGTTCCTCAGACCGACAAATTTTCATTTTTATTTAACTATCTCAGAAACACGGACGCATACAAATCTAAGTATTCCTACCAACAGTGCAGTAAAGAGAAACCCAACTGTTCTCAGAAACAAGAGATCCATCTTAAGATTTTACCTTCATGTCACAGTACCTTAGGCATATTTGATAATGCAATGTGATGCTCATTCCTTGTGATCTTGATGATAAACGTGGCCTTAAATGCTGGTTCATCAAAACAGGGAAAAGCAGATCTTGCTGCCAGGGGTTCAAACTGAGTTGCTGCAAAGTACCTAAAAACAAATGCAAATTCAATACAATAGTTATTGAGTGTCTACTAGACAGGGCACCATGCCAAGTACTAGGGGTGTGAAGAGAAATACATTACAATTCCAAAGTTTAAAGGACCCCAATTAACTAACTAAGAGACAGAAGTCTAGAGTGTACACAATCTTCTAGCAGGTTTCAAATCACATGCTAACACTGGAAGTACATGAGTAGGATCAAAAGGCATAAAACAAATTCTGCTGGAATTGAAGACACTGTAGAGAAACTAGTACAAAGTCTGAATTTGGTCCTTGAACACCAAGAACTCTTGATAAAATACATACAGGAGGGAAAAAATCATGTGAGAAAGAAGACGGCACAAGGGAAGAAGGCAGTATGTGTCTATAAGATGGGGCAGCTGCTAAGTGTGATGGGATTCAAAAGGGAGCTTCGTAAAAGAGTTTTCGACATGAAGTCTGTAGGAAGGATTGCCATTAATTGTTACTAAAACATCTGGGCTTGCAACAACGCATCTACAACATTTACTTTCACAAAAATAGAACAAGTTGTTCTTTAACAGCACTCTGCTTTCCTTTTACTTTTCAGAGATAAACAGAAAGGACGTTTTCCTTTCCACACCACAACAGCAGCAGCAAAAAGGCTATACTACATATAAAGAAACTGAATTACTGGTCATGTAAAAAACACAAAAAAGAAGCAAGGGTTAATGGAAGATTTTTAATCAAGGAAGAAAGCTGATCTCTATGTGGAAGACCACATAGAGTATCAGGCAAGTGCAATTCCCTTATGCCAGCCACAGGTACTCTAATCATGACACTCTGTTCCTCAATCCTTAGACTCCACTTTTAGAAGATAAGCAGAAAAGAGAAAATTAGATTTGGAGTCTACACTGTTTAGTCATATGACTCTGTAAAGTCTGTAACCTATATCTTAGTTTGTATCTTATATATATTATGACTGAGACAGAATCCCCTGCACCAAGCCCAGAGTTTTGTTAGAATCCAGTAAAACTTTACAAAAAAACAAAACATTTGTATACTAAATAGGTGGTTCTATATAGATGCTTATTACTAATACTAGGAAACTACAACTCTTTCCCACACTTAAAATCATTATTTTTTGTTTGTTTTGTCTTGTTTTTGTTTTTTCAAGACAGTTTTTCTCTGTATAGTAGCCCTGGCTGTAATGGAACTCACTCTGTAGACCAGGCTGGCCTCAAACTCACAAAGATCCACCTGTCTCAGCCTCCCAAGTGCTGGGATTAAAAGCATGGCCAGCTGAGACAGGATCTTAAATAGCCCAAATTGACCTCATATTCACTAACACACACACACACACACACACACACACACACACACACACACACACACACACACACACACACACACCTTGTCTGATCCTCCGGCCTCTACCTCCCAAGTGCTGGGACTACAAGTGCATTCCATCATGCCTGACTATATAGCCTAACATTCTAAGAAAAACCAAACCAAACTAAAACAAAACAAAAAAATCTTAAGCTATTGTTAAAGCAATATAATAACTATTTCACACAAACGCTTATGAGAAAGCTGCTTTGAAGTTACAATGCCATCTCTATTCTGAATACTTGATGCATATTCTTTCTTTGTGACTGTGTTTGCTTTCAGAAAAACTTGTTACCGAATTTCCTCGAGTCTATTTGAAAACAGGAATTGCCTGGAAGTTAAATAGGAGAGTCCTAAGCACTGGCAAAAACAACATGCAAAAGAAAAGTGTGAACTGGAGAAGCAGTTCAATACAGTGGTTAAGAAACAAGCTTGAGTTCCCTCTCTGCCAGACTGTTTCTGTATGTACCTTTTTCCTTGGGTATTAAAAAAAACATTAGCATTTCTTAGTGAATTTGACAAGGTAGAAGACTAAAGAAACATAAAATGCTCTAAGCAGTGTCTAGTGTTTAGTTCCCAATAAGTACTAGGGATACAGAGTTAAACATGATAGGGGAGTAAGAGCTGTAAGAAAAAACAAAGGCCAGATAATGATCATCTTCAAACTATTAGAAATAAGAACTATAAAAGGACTGTACACTAAAGGTCAGCATGACCTTTCTGCTAATGGAAACAAGTGCAAAGGTAAGAATAGGCATAGATTACATTTATAACAGTGTGGAAAATAGGTAAAGTTTCCTGACCACAAGTAGTATCTATTCAAAGCATCAGACATTATGATTTTCCAGGCAACAAGAGAATTGGTGCCTTCCAACCAACATGAAATGCATCCCCCTAATCATTTTACCAGTTTAAATATATTTTTTCAAATTATAGCAGGGGATAGTATAAAAAAGTAAAATTGTAAGACACACACCCACACAAAATTTCTTAATATTAGTAGTTTTCAGATATTTTGAAAGAGAGTGATTTAAACTTTTATCCTCTATCAAAATACACAATCATGTGGGGCCTTCACTTATATTCGTTCCAAAATTTCAGTTTAAAATACATTTTAAATTTTGTACTTCTTAGTTTTAAGGGCCCACATTTTTCTAGCATGTACCATAATTCAATCCAACCCATGCCAAGAATTTACACATGCTTATCCTAAAAATTACTGGATTCTACTATACAGCATTCATTCTTCCCATAATGTACCAATAGGTTCAAAGATCCCAGGGAAATAATCTAATTTGATGAGATAGCTCTGGGGCTTAGAGTTCTGCTTGCAGTATTAAGTCACTATTTTATAGTGTGCATGGTGTGTTTGTCTATATGTCTAACTATCTATCTTTCTATATATGTGGATCATTCTGAATACAAAACGTACAATGCAAATAGGGTGCAAAATACTGTAGTTCCTAGGGATAACAGAGATTACAAACCAATAACTAAAGCTAAACACTCGAAGGCTGCCATTACAATCACAAATTTGTGTTCAATTTAGATAACCATTCAACAACTGAAATATAAAGGCAGCATGCTATTTGTTTAAAAAGCATATATAAAAGAAAAATAGTTTATCTGACATTCTTTTTTTTTATCTGACATTCTTATTAAGTAGAGGTTACTAAAATATAACCATCTGTTTCAAATTCCAACTATCAGTATAAAACCCTCAAATATATGTGAGAAGTAGATGGACAATTTGTGTGAAAAGAAAATTTTAGCATCCTTTGATGATTCTTAATTCCCAACAGAGACCTACAGCCTTGTTACTCAAAATTTCATCTAGCGCTTGAGTGTTTTTTTTTTTTTTGATGACTGAGAAAGAAAATACATTTTTTTCTATTGTTTGAAAAAAGTTAAGAGAGAAACATCCATTCTATAGCAAATTCAATGTCTTGGGCAGAAAAAAAAGTGAAATTACTCTTTTAAAAAATATATTTTCTTTCAATGAACTGAAAATTAAAAAGAAACTCTGAAACATTGAACAAAACAAAAACAACATATTAATATATATTAGCCAACTGGCCAGTGTCAATAATTCTTAAACTGCACAGACTATTATGAGTATATTATGTAAGAATGCTCTACTAACATAAAGCACATATATAGTCTTTGTGCACAGAGATGACATTATTAATTATGATTATAATGGAATCATTATAATATACACTATATCTTTCATGAAATACATCTACAATATGGCTAATAAGATTAAACAACAAAGTATGATCCAAATAGGCTGTAGAATATTCTTACACTGTATATCACCTTTTTTTGTTTTTGTTTTGAGATATGATTCTTTCACAGTCAAACTGGCATTTTAAAAAGTAAACCAGTAAAGATTAAGGACATTAAGAATGATGTGTATCAGCTGGGCGTTGGTGATGCATACCTTTAATCCCAGCACTTGGGAGGCAGAGGCAGGAGGATCTCTGAGTTCGAGGCCAGCCTGATCTACAGAGAGAGTTCCAGAACAGCCTCCAAAACAATACAGAGAGACCCTGTCTCCAAAAACCAAAAAGAAAAAAAAAATGATGTGTATCAGCTAAACACTAAACTGAACTCCTGGAATCCAGTGACAGAGAGGGAAGACTGATGAGCAAAGGGGTCAATACTGGGCTGGTTTAACCCACAAATACAGCTGACCTGAACAAGGAGGAGCTCTTGGACCCCAGACTGATAGCTGGGAGGACAGCATGGGACTGATCCAGACCCCCTGAAGGTGGGTGTCAGTGAGGAGGCCTAGGCAATCTACAGGTCTTGGGTAGTATTTATCCCTGGCAGACAAATGGACTTTGGCTGCCCATGCCACAGTGAGGGATGCTTTCTCAGCCTGGACTCTTGGGGGTGGGCCTAGGCCCTGCCCTGGATGAAATGACAGACTCTGGAGATCCTCCATGGAGGGCCTCACCCTCCCTGGGGATCAAAGTGGGGATTGGGGGGCTGTGGGCCTGGTGAGGAGGGCTGGGGAGGAGGGAAGGGAGAGGGAGCTGGGATTGACATGTGAAGCAAGCTTGTTTCTAATTTGGAAAAAAGAAAAAGAATGATGTGTATATATATGCCACATTTCATACTCTTTCTCCAACTCATAAAGTAACTCCTAAAACTTCTGCCTGCCATCAGTTTAGCCTATAACCCTCATTCTGCCTCCTACAGCTTCAGGGAAGGGTGACCTATTCATCTCATAAAACATGAAAAGCTCAAGAAAAGTTTGTTAGTTTACGACAGATAGAGAATATAATCCTCTTTCATCCCCTTCCACCACACACTTCTATTCTCTCCCACCACAATACTCACTCCAAGTTCTGCCTAGGAGAATTGTATATTCTTGCATGTTACCATTCTATTTTGCACATAAATTCCTAAATTTAAAAACATTTACGGTGTGGGCAAAAGAATCTGCACTGCAGAAGTTACACACAGAAGAACACAGAACAAGAACCATTTAGGAGGTTTACATACTTTTTCTCATGACTTTCATCTGTGTAGGTGATGCCATAAAAACCATAATAAGAGTTAGATATATTTGCTGAATACTCTATCTTCAAAGTATAATTGTGCCCTGCTAGAAGGGCTTCAGGGGCAACAACGGCAATTTGCTCATGATATGGATATTCCAGGACTTCAACTTGTTTTTCTTGACTTGAAACTGCTGACATAAATGTCACTCTTGAAATATTATGTCCTGTGCTATGGAGAATGATATTCCATGTGGCTTGAAGAGCCTGAAGTGAAATTGTCACAGAACCTTTGAATGTCATCGAGGTTAGGTTTGGATGTAGGCTAAGTTCATAGCGCTGAGGCATAATGGCAGTGGGAAGCCTAATCTGTGCCCATGGAAACAATTTCCCATTTGTGGCAAGTGGCTGAATTAGTCCCGTTGACTGGTTTTTTTTGTGGCAGCCTTCTTTGGTAAAGGTACATCTAGGCAGTAGGTAAATCACCATGATTACAGAGACAGCAACCACGATGACAAAAACACAGACCACTAAGGTCCTGGCGGAGGGTACTGAACAAGAGCCGTCTGGACTCTGCCTGTAGCCCGCTGCACTGTTTCGAAGTCCTGAGCTTCGGTTCATGAAGGACATGCCCAGCAGCTTTGCAGATGACTCATAATCCTCTTCGTCCTCATCCATCTCATGCTCACCAAGACCTCGTACCAGTAGCCTCGAACCCCGGGGCTCATATTCCACTTCATCAGGTTCCAGAGGATGTAAACAGGGTTCTTTGGCTAAATCTACCACATCTGGTTCTTCTTCAAACATGCTGTTTTCAATCATGTTCCTTGGAAGCTGAAGTCGATCTACAAATATAAGACACAAAGATAAGACAGGAGTGGGGGAGAGCTCACAATACAATGTTTCTTGGAAACACCAAATTTAGTGGGTTTTTTTAGTCACTAAGATTTATTTCCACCTTAAAGCTATTAGAATTAAATAGAGGCTTTATGGAATTCTTGAACTGTTCATTAAAAACCCAAGTATATATATAAAAAAGCACACCACAATCATGAACCAAAAAACAAAAACAAAAACACTTGTAAATGGGCTAATATTAAAGAAAGATGGCATAAAGCTAATTGTTTTTCTGTCACAGATTTTTTTCAGTGTTTGTGGTCACTAAGTGAATAAAACTATATGATAGTCAAAAAGAGTGGCTATTGTAACTGTATAGAAGCTTACTGAAATGTATGTAGATTTCAGGCCTGGCTAATTTTGGTGTGCGGTATTTATTTCATTTGAATTTGTCTCCTTTTAATAATGAAATTAAAGTAATTTTTAAGCAGCTGTGATTTTATAATGCTTTCTTTAGAACAGTACCATGTATGTCATCTAAACAGCTAGGACTGAGTGGGGCCAAAAGGACTGTAGTCAATGCCTTTCTTCTGGGGTCTGGACATTTGAAGCCTGGAATTCTTGGCCAAATAATGCAAACCAGGTTGTAAGGCCTGCTGTGTAGGTCTTCTTCCTGAGTCCCATTCTATCCTGGGCAAATTAGAAATGGGTCTACCTGCTTCTAGGCTTAAAAGGTGGCTCATCAAAAGAACACGTTATTGTTTCCCTCAGGAAAAGGATGTTTTGTGCCATAGTAAACTAAAAGAAAATTACTTATGAAATTTTGACAAGCAAGAAACAGTAACATGGACAAAACAACTTGGAAAACAGATCAAACTGCTTTTTTGCCCTTCTGGACCTTTCACCAGTACAATTTTTCCCATCCTTAAAAACAGAACAAACACCATGAGTGTCAGCATACCTTGAGTAAGGAAGTGGTGGGAACTTTTCTGAGCTACACTCACCCCATTTACCAAAAATCACTGCGGAGAAAGGTCTCAAGAAGTAAAGGGGTAAATAATACTACATATGTATCAATAACTTCCAATTGAGACAGTCAATATTTTGTATTAAAAAAATCACATCTTGTAAGGGATTTTAAGACTTTAACAAATTGAAATCATTTTTAACTTGTTCTCACAAAGCACTTTACAATTAACATTTCTAATCTTCACAACAGTTCCATAAAGTGGCAAAAATTAAGACATGAAAAAACAAACAGAAATGGACTGACAATTTCAAAGCCATATAGATATTTACTTGTAAAATTTATATTTGAGCCCATATTCTTAATTTTTTCACATTTTATTCTCATTAATGTACTACATCTTCTGTCCCATGTTAATTTAATGAAAGGGAAGTGCTTTTGACAATTTGGTATCTGGCAATGGAATTATTAAAAATATTATTCATCATCAGTAGAATAAAACTGACGTTAGCTACTTAAACCCAGAAAAACATAGTGGGTAAGTATTTTTAAATTAACATGTCAAAAATCCCCCCAAAAGCCTAATCTAAACAAATTTTCTTGAGCAGATACAAGGCATGCTATATTCAAATAAGGCTGTAATAGTTAACAAGCAACGCTCTGCTCAATGACACATAAAATGTGAGCCATAAGAAAACAAAAGTCAGCTGCTGCACTTAACTTTAGAACAGCTGCTGTAAATATGTTCCAAAGAATAAAGGAAAACAGCTTTAAACAGTGAAACAGAGGACTAAGTGAATGATAAAAATTTCACCACAAAAACTGAAACTAAATAAAAGAGATCAGAGGCTGGGGAGATGTCTCAATGGGAAAGAATACTTGCTACAAAACCATGAAGACCTAGGTTTAAATCTCCAAAACTCAAGCAAAATATGTGGGCATGACCCCCATTCCTGTAACCCCAACACTGGGCAGAGAAGGCAGGCTGAACTCAGGAGCTTGCTGACCTGCCAACCTACCAAGAACTGTGAGCATCGGGTTCAGTGAAAGATCCTGTCTGAAAGGAACAAGGCAGGAAGCAACAGAGGACACTCAGCATCTTCCTTTAGCCTCTGCATATGTACATATGAACACACCCTGTGGTGGTGTGAACAGAGATGGCCCCCACAGACTCCTGTTGGAATGCTTGGCCCATAGGGAGTGGCACTATTAGAAGCTGTGGCCTTGCTAGAGTAGATGTGGCTTTGTTGGAGGAAATGTGTCACTGGTGGGTGGGCTTTGAGGTCTCAGAAGCACAAACCACACTCAGTGAGTCTGTCACTTCCTGCTGCCTATAGATCCGGATATAGAACTCCCAGCTACCTCTCCAGTACCATGCCTGCCTGCATACTGGTATGTGTTCTACCATGACAATAATGAACTAACTCTCTGAAGTGTAAGCCAGCCCCAATTAAATGTATTTCTTTATAAGAGTTGCAGTGATCATGGTGTCTCTTCACAGCAATAGAAACCCTAAGACATACACCCTTTCCCCCAACACACGCGCACACACACACACACACACACACACACACACACACACACACACACACACACACACGACTGGAGAGGGGAAAAACAGGCAATTAGGTAACTGAAGTCCTGGCGTGTTCAATAATTAAAATGAAAAAATAAAACAATGAACGAACTTAACAGCAGCTGGAAATAACAGGGAAAAAGCCACATGAATTTGACAGGGCATTAAAAATTACCAATTTAAGGAACAAAGGGTCTTAAAGAAGGCCAAAAAATACTTCAGGGATTATGAACAGTAGCTACATTTCATCTCTACTGGGCATCAACTCTTTGAGATCACTGCTAAGATGTCATTTGCATCACATTAGTAGATAAATTCATTTAGAAAAAGTCCAGAACTCTCATTTTTTCCTTGGGACCCACAAACACTAAAACATTGATTTCTTTTAAGATGCACAACAGTGTTCATGTAGAACCTCAGTTAGTATGGATTTATATATTTGTTTCTGGAAGATTTCAATGTCCACATTTCATACTTTAAGTCATCTGACCTCCTAGGCATTTGCCAACCAGATGCCCTAACATGAAAGATGCTACAATTGTTCCTAACACCCCTAGAGATTGGGTGTATCTAAAAGCTATGCTCATTTGCCTTTATATAACAAAAAAGGTAACTTGCAACTAGCCTTACAACTACAATGTGTAAGAAAGCAAAATTTAACTTCATTAATTCTCAAACTTTTCTAGTTAAAATAACCTAAAAAGCAGCATTACAGAAACATCAACTATAATTGACCAAACTGCTACACTGAGTCAATATATTTTCTACCATTTGAAAATTATTAACTGTATTATATGAAGGTCCTACTCACAACTTTATTTTCTATAGTTTTGTATACTATAAGCAAAATTTAACACTTCTGAACTAGAGAGAAGCACAAAGATGAATTTCTAGCTGGTTTAATTTTGCAGCTATGAAACATGTTTTAAACACCTATGTAGGAAAAGAAATCTACTAGAAAAGTTCAAGGTACAAAGTATCAGTGCCTGGAAGCTCTGCAAAGAGAACCTAAGGAATCAAGGGTAGAGGCAAGAAAATCTGCAGCAAGCAAACTGCAGACCTTTAACAGCAAACTGCAATCCTTAACAGAAACAAAGAGGAAAAAATGAAAAAGTCATTTCCTGTAGAAAAAGGAAGAAAGTTTTCACCTGGGCAAACAAAATGAACAACTTCCATCAGCAGATCCATATACTAGATAAAAATTTAGTCAATTAGGTAACATAGCAACTGTGTATATTTTAATCTATTAGTAAAATGTTAAAGCTTTTTCTCTATGGTTTAAATTTTTCACTAGCTTTTAGAAATCTCTCTTTAACTTGATCTCAAGACAACAAATACAGCTTGGTAAAGTTACACATACTGATGAGCTTATATCAAGATCCTTAAATTCATGCCTCATCAATACATACCAAGGTCTAAAGTGTTTTTCACCAAGTCCACAAGAGAAAAGTATCAATTACACAGGGATATATATGTTGGAGAATGTTTTCACACGCACACACAGAGAGAGAGAGAGAGAGAGAGAGAGAGAGAGAGAGAGAGAGAGAGAGAGAGAGAGAGAGAGAGAGGTGATAAACGATACATAATTTTTTAAAAGACTGCAAGATGCCTACTGAGTAATAATGCTTGCTGAACAAACCTGATGACCTGCTTGATTCCCAGAACCCATAGGATTCAATGGGTACAAAAAGATGGGTACAATGGCACATTCATGGCAAACAGGAGGCAGAAACAGAAGAATCTACCAGAAGCTGGTGGGTCAGATAGCCTGGACTGCACAGCCCAACAGAAATATCACAAGACACTGCCTCAGTGCTTCAACAAGGTGGAAAAAGATAACTGACTCCTCAAAGCTGTCCTCTGAATTCTACACGTGCTGTAGTACACGCACGACTGCATTCACATACACATGGCTGCATTCACATACACACGGCTGCATTCACACACACACACACACACAATACTTACACTTTCACACAAACAAAATAGTAATAAGTAAACTTTAAAAAAAAATGTTTAGGGGCTGATGAGATAACTCAGTAGTAAAGGCTCTTGCAGCCAAGTCTATGACCTGAGTTTGAACCTTGTGTCTCACAGGGTGGAAGTACTGAACCAAATCTACATGCAAAAGATGTCCTCTGACCTCCACATACAACTCAACACACACAATAAATAAATGTAAAAAATTTTCACTGAATGTTTATAGCAGTATTCTCATGAAGCAAAGAAGAAAGGGAGGGAGGGAGGGAGGGAGGGAGGGAGGGAGGGAGGGAGGGAGGGAGGGAGGGAGGGAGGGAGGGAGGGAGGGAGGGAGGGAGGGAGGGAGGGAGGGAGGAAATGGCAAAAGACTACTCATCCTTATATCTTGGGCTGGGTACTTATAAAGGAAGAATAAAGATTACTTGGCTCACAGTTTTGGATCTTCCTGAATCCAGAAAACATGTAGCTCTCTCTGATTAGGCTCC